CTGCGAGCAGGGGCTGCTGTTAATGCTGCACATGGAGGTGCAGCAAGTAGAAATCCCTGCACCTCCAGCTACCAGGACTTCAATGAATCCACTCCTCCAGCCCACACTGTAAGTAAGTATAAGAGAGTGTGTGTGTGTGTGTGTGTGTTTAACTGCCTGAAACTGTGTGTGTGTGTGTATGACTGTCTGAAACTGTGTGTGTGTAACTGTCTGTAACTGTGTGTGTCTGTCTGTAACTGACTGTAACTGTGTGTGTAACTGCCTGAAACTGTGTTTGTGTGTGTGACTGTCTGTAACTGTGTGAGTGTGTGTGTGTGTAAGTGTCTGCCCAGTGGCGTACACATGACCCATGGGGCCCCGGTACGAAAATTGATCCGTGGCCCCCCCTCTCCCCCCCGCGCTTACTCGGCGCAGGTACGGGCCGCAACACATGGCGGCGGGCACCTGGTCGCAGGGGTTGCAGGGCTGCGACCCTGCAACCGCGGTATGCACACACACTTAAAGGACTACTACAGACACCCAGATCACATCAGCTCAATGAAGTGGTCTGGGTGCCAGGTCCCTCTAGTTTTAACCCTGCAGCTGAAAACATAGCCGTTTCAGAGAAACGGCTATGTTTCACTGAGGGTTAATCCAGCCTCTAGTGGCTGTCTCATTGACAGCGGCTAGAGGAGCTTCCGCGATTCTCACTGTGAAAATCACAGTGAGAAGACACTGAACGCCCATAGGAAAGCATTGAGTAATGCTTTCCTATGGGCGGTTTAAATGCGCGCGCGCCTCTTGCCGCGCATGTGCATTCGGAGCTGAGAGGAGGAGGGATCCCCAGCGCCAAGGGAGTCCGACGCTGGAGAAAGGTAAATGCTGAAGACACACACTCTCACGAACAGACGCATACACACTAGCTAACAGACACACACATTTACTGACAGAGACACACTCAGCGACAGACATACATACACACTCACAAAACATACACTTTCACTGACAAACACACACTCACTAACAGACAAACACACTCACTAGCAGACACACACCCAATAACAGACACTCACTGACACACACACTAACACACAAACAAACACACACACACACAAACACTAACACACACACATTTTTAAAAAAATTTAATCCCCCCAGCCTCCTTACCTTTTGGAGTGCTGAGGGGATTCCCTGGGGTCCAGTGGTGCTGCTGACCCAGGCGGGCTGGCTATCTGCGTGGCCGGTGCGCGAGGGAGCACTCTCCCCTGAGTGCTTCCTCTTCAGCTCCCTCGCGCGCCGCGTGGGGATGACATCATCTTCCGGCTCCGGTATCAGTGCGGTGCGCGAGGGAGCTGAAGAGGAAGCACTCAGGGGAGAGTGCTCCCTTGCGCACCGGCCACGCAGATAGCCAGCCCGCCCGCCTGCCGGGGTCAGCAGGGCCAGCCTCGGGGGGGAGGCCTGGGGTGGCCGGCTCCTGGGCCCCCCAGGAGAAGAGGCTGGCCCTGTGGCTACATACCAGGTCGCAGGGGCGGCCGGGCCCGGTCGCAGCCGCGACCCCTGCGACCATGGTATGTACGCCACTGTGTCTGCCTGTAACTGTGTGTGTGTGCATAACTGTCTACCTGTAACTGTGTGTGTAATGGTCTGCCTGTAACTGTATGTGCGTAATTGTCTACCTGTAACTGTGTGTATGTGCGTAATTGTCTACCTGTAACTGTGTGTGTGACTGCATGCCTGTAACTGTGTGTGTGACAGTCTGCCTGTGACTGTGTGATGCTGCCTGTGACTGTCTGCATGTAACTTTGTGCATGACTGCCTGTAACTATGTGTATGACTGTCTGCCTGTGACCGTGTGTGTAACTGCTTGTAACTGACTGTGTGTGTGTGTGTGTAACTCTCTACCTGTAACTGTGTGCGTGTGACTGTCTGCTTGTAACTGTGTGTGACTGTCTGTAACTGTGTGAGGGGGTGCAGGGATTTAGTAGGTTTTTTGTTTTTTTTTCGAAGCGGGTGGGGGGGGGGCAGGGGGGTGCCAAACCCAGGACCCGCCCCGGGTGCCACATGCCCTAGGTACGCCCCTGAGGAGGGGTGACGGTGAAAGGGAGGGGGATGATAGGGAGAGGGGTGATGTGAGAAATAAATACCTTTATTTATTCCCTGGTGGCCATTACATCCGGTCTGCAGCTCCGCAGAACATGTATCTTGCGAGACCCGTCAGAGCATTGCCGTGGTAACCCACGGCAATGCTCTGATTGGCCAGTTCTCACGAGACACATGGTCTGCAGCTATGCTCACTGTGGCGCTGCAGACCGGTGTCTGCGATGGCTGGCCGGGCAGACAGGAGGGGCCTCGCACACGGTGACATACTGAGCAAGCTGCCGGGCCCCCTCCTGGTGTCGGGTCCTCAGTCACTGACCGCAGACCCAACACAGTCTGCCCAAAGGCAGTTTAGAGGGCCGCCTCTTCCCCCGGGCTGGTGCGCCCTAAGGCGGCGCTTGTGTCCTTATGGTTGCGCCGGCCCTGATCTGGTCTTTATTTATTTTTAGACATCAGACAATGCTTGGCAGCTGCAGAATTTCTGAATATACCCTGTGTAAATGGAAGGATTCGTGGTACGAATACAAGATGGTAACTGCTGTCACATAACGGTTATATAGAGCCATTGGATATAAGGATGAAAATTCAATAGCAGATTCACAGTTACGTGTGCTTTTTAAAAGGGACACTCCATACACCTAAATCACTTTAGCTTGCTGAAGTACTGTGTGTCTGTCTGGAGCCGCTCACATTTGTGACCATTATAAAAGCAGATATAAAAATAGAAATCAGTACTTTTATAACTGGAGACAGGAACACCTCTCTGTTACTGTTAAGAGGCTTTTCCAGGACGTGCTTGCAAAGCCTGGAGGCAAGAGGTCTGGGGCTTTTGCAAGCTGGTTTTAGATATACCCCAATGAGAGAGGGGGCAGAAGAGAGAATTCAACAAAGTGTTCATTTATTTCAATATACAATAAAAGTCAGCATTTCAGTTCCAAGTTGAAATTGAGGCATTTACAGGGTAGCTACTGAACACCAGGCAAGGAACTTATTAAGCAATTAAGGCAGGTATTCCCTCAATTGCAGAGTTGATTTTGATTGAGCATCTTGGTTCAAGAATCATTATGTACGCATAGAATAGCAGCACCTCTGGGTCAAGCTCCAAAACCTACTGAATTTATCAGATAAAGAAATTGCAACCCCCTCCCCTATGCAGAAATCCCTGGTAACGATGACCGTCTCCAAAAATCAGCAGTAGCTATATTGTGGAGCAGCATATAGAATCAGGAATCCACCTTTACTATCAGTGTGTGAGAAAAGCTCTCTTTAAAAGGATACTCTAATACATTTGCCAAATTGTCTTCATAAAAAAGAAGCACTCCAGGTTTGAGGAAAAAACGCTTACCTGTAAAATTCCTAAAGCTGGTGCACTTGTCCAGGCAAGCTGCAGCAGTACCATCACAAACCAGGAAGATGCTCCAAAATTATTCGTTCATTCTCACCTATCCAGCACGTGTGAAACAAATTTAAAAAAAAACAAAAAACTGAACAGATGCAGCATGGTTAGCAACTGCTATTGTTTTTGGACTAGGACTTCGGTTGGAGAACTGAATTGCTTATCCCTCAGTCTTGTTTGGTTTTGCAACGTGTTGTGCACAGCATTCTTCCTCTGTGTACATGTAACAAAGGCTCAGGTTCTCTGATCACGACATAACGTGCATCCGCCCCTACTTAACACCGGATGCAGCTAAGGTGCTCATCTATGACGCCATCACATTTTGCCTTGACTATTGCAGTTGGATTCTCAGTGGTGTTACTTGTTCCCAACTTGCCCTGTTACAGTGTACAATGAATGCAGCAGCAGCGATGCTCAACTTCTTGTCCACCTGCACGTACCATGCCTGTCTATCTTAGCATTGGCTTCCCATTTGATATAAAGACTCAATCTAAAATTCTGGTTCTTGCCTGCAAAGCTCTACTTAATGCTGCTCCAACCTACCATCTTCCCTGATACACAAGTATGTCTCATCTAAGCCCCTACACTCTGCCAAAGACCTACGACTAGCCTCTGTTCGTACTTCGACCTCTGCTGCTCTCCTTCAAGACTTCTCTAGGGCTGCACTATTTTATGGAACTCTTCCCATCTCCTCTAAATGTTCACCCAGTCTCCATTCCTTCAAAAAAAAAAAAAAAAAAATGTAAAAGAATTGAAAACTCACTTCTTCAGGAAAGCATATCCAATAAAAAGGTTACTAGTTTAGCCCCTGCACCCTGATTCTTCTCATGCAACGGTCATGTAGTAAATACTATTTTACCAACCTAGTTTTCTACCCTTACCTTGTGTGTCACTATACCCCATTACCTCTAGCATGTAACCTCAACCTCTATTCCTGTGCGTCCAACTGGTCTGGTTACAATTAGGTGTTTGTTTGTCCACCCATTGTACAGCGCTGCAGAATTTGTTGGTGCTTTATAAATGTACAAAATGGCCTGATTTGGCTGGATTGGAAGGAGTATTACTTTCACTGGGGGAATAAAGAATGAACAACATTCACTAATGGCATATTTACAACAACCTGTTTAACATGCATCATATAGATGTTTTGCAGAAAACAGGAGTTGGATGATTTCATGGGAGTGGGCGGAGGTTTCCTATTACGGTTAGGTAAACTAAATCCATTTCACAGAGTAATGTGTACAGAATGTAAAATGATGAATAGTACATTGAACAGCAAGTTATTTTGGTAAGGGCTTTTAGTCCAAGTCTACTAAGGGCAGGTGTACAGATCCAGGTCATGTTTTCATACTAGATAGGACAGCTCTCTTTGGGTGGAATTTTTGGACATTGACACTTGCTGAGATTTAGCACATGTTTAATGTTTTTTTTTATTGTGTCTTCTTGACTGAAGAAATAAAAAAAGTACATTACAAAACTCAAAACTTTCAGATAATTTAAAATTCAGTTTAATTGGAAAAAAAAAACAGGACACAGTTATACAATGCATGTATCATGCATGGACAAAGTAAAATATTGCACTTGGATTTTACAATGAAAAGACACCTTTTAAAAGCTGAACATTTTACAAATTTACTACTTTATACAACATGCTGAGGAAGATAAAAAAAAAATAATCTGCATGAAGTAGATGTGTGCCCTTTGAATTTTACATTCATAAACAGAGCACAAGAAACTATGCTCTATTCTCAATGTAAACTTCTTGGGTGACACATGCCATTTGGAACTTCACACACTATGTGTACCAACCCTCTTGCTGCAGGTAATAGAATAACCTGTTGGAATTCATACACTATTAAAACTTAAATGAGGCTCCACTAAAAAATATAAAGGGAAACCAAGTATAATAGTTCAACATAAATGAAGCATGCAAATGTTAATACTACTTGTTAAAGCTAGTTGTGGGAGATGAAAAAAATAAATACATGTACAGATCAAAGCCAGTTCATTTTTTCCATTCGGTGTACATTTGTTTAAATTGTGAAATGCATGGTTTGTAAAACCAGATTAAAAAAAAAAGTAATAATGGCTGCTAGTTTGTGTATTTTCTAATGAACATGGCTCATAATGATCTTTTAAAACAGACTTAATATATAATAAAAAATTTTTTTAAAAAAGTTGGTGCATGAGAACAAAAACAAGACAAAACACTGTTTGTGTATTGACTAGACCACCCCCCCCCCCAAAAAAAAAAAATTATATATAAATTAAATTATTCATGCTTAATCCCAACAACAGCTGCCAGCACTGTGGGATAACAGAACAAAATGTAAATACTCATACTATAAAAAGAATGATGCGGAAAATGGATCTGCAAGCAGAATTTCTTGGTGTACTTGTGCATGTCAATGTGGAGTCAAGCTAACATTTTAAAGGGCTGCTAATCTATAAAATATATGAAGTTTACTTTATAATAATAAAATTTAATTTGTTCTGCAGAATTTCTCCTAACAATTCAACTGGAAGTAGATTTACATTGAAAAACTATATTTGGTTCATTCACAATATTATTGCTAAGGCAATGTATGGTCATGAAAGGTATTAAATAATGCAACATATCGTGATAGTATACTCTTAACAGGCACTAAATGTTGTAATGTAAACAAGTCTTCCAAATGACTTAAAAAACAGACATGCTACAGTACAACTGTAATAAAATAATTTTAAAATCCACTGCTCAAAATAAATAACATGCGCTTCGACACAAAACAAAGAACATAGATCTTCGAAAAATGTACATGTAGGTGTGACTTGCAAAGCTAGCTTTCAGTATGACAAAGTGTTTACATTATTGGATGTGATTGAATAAAAAAAAATGGTAATGAGCATGTAATGAAGCAAAATGGAAGTTGTAGTGTTATAAAAAAAGAAAAAAAACAAAAAACAAAAACTTAAATGGTTTTGTATCTGGCACATAGGATCTTGTCTTGTGTAGATTTTGTGTCTTAAAATATCTTAGAAGTATTTCAGAATGATTTTCAACATCCTGATCTCAAATAATGGACATTACCTTTTGATTTTACCCTAAAACTCAGATTTATAGATGTTAAAGAGTAACAAAACCACTCTTGGCACAAATCCCTGCATATCTGGTGAAAGAATAAAAAGGCTTCAGATTTATGTAGGATCTGTCATGCAGAACACCACCATACATTAGAAAGCCTGATTGTAAGGCAGCTCAGATTTATAATCTAAACCAGTGGTTCGCAACCCAGTCCTTAAATACTCGTAACAGTCCAGGATTTAGGGATTACCCAGTAGTCCAAGGTGTTTTAGAAAGTTAAAAAACAAAGAACAAAACACTTTAGACAACAGGGTAATCCCTAAATCCTGGACTGGTAGGGGGTACTTGAGGACTGCGTTGGCAACCCCTGATCTAAACCACAGCTTGTTTTCTGGCAAAAAATAAAATCTTAAATCCTTTGCACAACTAGTCAATTATGATTGGCCTTCTGTTGTTTTCACTGATCAGCCAGATTATGGGTCTTGCACATGCCTAGACCACATGAATAAACATAAAAAAAAAAAAAAAGAATATATAAAAAAGAAAGCAATCACAAATCAAACAGAAAACTGAACAGCATGTTTGTTGACTTGTAGATACATTCTAAAGGACTGAGCACATTTAAAGTTGCAAAGTTGAGAGAGCAATGGAATCCATCCCTATGTTTATTTATGTCAAGGCAAGCTAAATGAATGGCAATGCACGTCACCAACATAGAAAATCTTGACCAGTTTGTTAAGAATAAAACCAAACTCATTCAGAATATCATAAGAAACGCACAGTGAACAGCAAATTGTTGCTTCTGTATGAAGTGAATTTCTAAAGCAGAGCTCCATCTTTTAAAGCACTGCCCCAAATTGCTCTTTAAAATGTCTGAATTGCCTACTTTTATTTTTTTCCCCCATTGAGGTACATTTAAATAATAGGATAATAAACACTGTGATGGCAATTTGAAGAGTTTAACAGCTTAACAAACGGGTGGCCTTTAGATTTTGATACCAATGGACAAGGACAGAGAAGCACTGAAGGATTTCATTACACAAGGAGTTCTCAAGTCCAAACTAACTACTAATGATCCAAAACAATATGTAAAGCCTGAACCATTCACAGTTGGCGAGAACAGAATTGAAAACTAGTAATTAAAACAAAGTACGTGTATAAGAAATAGGTAAAGCAAGAACATAATTTAGACAGTGCCATGAAAATAAAATATCACAAAGACCAGATGGTTCACTTTTGCATGGTACTTAGTCACTTAATTCATGTACTCTATGGCCTAGCATGCTTAGACCTGTAATTCATCAGTGTATTTAATATGTCAGATGGCCAACAAGCAAGTTTTTTGGACAAGTGCTTGTCATTTCAATTCCATTGCCAAAGTATGGTTAAGAAGAGTGCATTCTCCAATCCTTTGAAGGATATAACTCAATTCCATGTTTAGATTAAAACAGACGTCTGCGTTCTTGTCATTAAAAGTCTGAAAATGGCAAAGAAGTTTAAATCTGATGAGTAGAGGGACCTTTTTACAGAGTAATGTAACTCATAAGAGAAACTTAGGGTAGCCTTGGAATTGCAAAAAAATGTAAAAAAATAGTAAAGACCCAAATGTTTGCATTGATCGCATCAAATCTTATATGAAAAATCTTCTGTGATCAGTTATCCAGAGGAGCGGAGGGAAAGAGAAAGAAAACAAACAAAAAATACCCCCAAACCTTGCCTTGAGCAACAAATAGCTTAAATATCAATTAAAAGCACAAGTTGAATTAAGAAGACTTACACAAAAAAAAAACAAAAAAAAAAAAACATTTCCAATAAATGTGACATTTGTTTAAAACCACTGCTATGTGCGCTGGTGTTAAAATGTGAAACTGATTGAAGGCCACAGAGAATGTTTGAATAAAGTCCAGGTATTCTGATCTTGTTAGCAGCGTTCCCCTGTGGAGGACTCCTGTAAGTGTTACAGCTCAGTAGGAGAGAAAGATTATACAATAGGAATATTATTTCAACCTCTCAATAAGCCCTTGTGATAATCCAAGCTGCAGGAGTTGATTTTTAGGCAGGTGAGCAAGATGGGGAAAATACTTTAATAAGTTCTCCCAGCACAGTTCCAGCAGGCTGGGTACCACTAGCCATATTTTAAACAATGAGCCGGTCCTCTTGTTCTGTTGGATGTTGACGACCCCTCCATGGATATACATGCAGCCAGCCTAGAAGAGAGTTAAAAGTAGTTTATATGTATTGATTCTTAAACATACATTCCATCTGATACAATTTTGTTTTAAGCCATGCTCATTTATCCCTATAGTAATGATGCCCAGAAGTGTGATTACGCCAAGAAAAACAAAATTACCAGACTGTTGGCAAAACCCAGAAAAGGCAGGGGGAGAGGGTAGAAGAGACAATAGGGACAGAGTGGATACTAGGAGACCCATTAGGGATGAGGGTATAGATTGACTCACATAGATAGATGTGATTGTGAGACATTAGGGTAGGGGGTATTGGACTCATGTGGCTTTGGTCGCTGGGATGCAAAAGCTCAAACAGTGAGGAAAATGGAGAATCTGAACAAACAAAAGTGGGGAGAGATAGATGTCACCCTCCATCATACATAAAGTGTGGTTGATATTTGAGACATATAAAAGACAGAAATACAGAAGTGGGGGGGGGGGAGAGATATAATGAGATTAAGAGAATGCTTTAACACAACCATGTGCCCCATTGTCAAGGCTTTCCTCTGAACTTCTAATAAAAGACTGCTTGTTAATAAGAAACCCTTGGGTATGCCCACATTGGGAAGAACTTTTCCTCCGTGAGCCTCCAGATCCGTGGCTTGAATATTCTGGCCTTCATGCCAGCCTGGGGCTGGAGGGATGGCCTATCTCGCTCCAACGTGTTGCTGCCTTTGTTACATACTTCTCAAGCTTCTCAAAGTTTGGACTCTGTCCTGTGCACTCCTCTGTATGCTACGAATGTTCTTGGACATTATTTGACACCATCTTGCCTGAGTCAGGTCTGTCTCTCGTTTTAACCAACCACCTACTGCTTTTCCTTTTCTTTTTTCTTTTCCTTTCTTTTATCAGTATGTCATTCAATTAATAGGGTACAGAGTCCCAACAAGGTTCAGTTCTTTACAACAATTAGGTATTACCAAACAGAATTATTATGCTATATCTGTACATTGCCTTTTGAATCTCACTGCATGTCATATCTATATACTTTCCTCAATAAAAAGTTTGACAAAAAAAATACAAAAAAATAAAATAAAAAGGTTTATTTGAAATTCAAACAATGGAGGGATTTTTGTAGTTTAAATACACAATTTCAGATAGCATACCGGTGTAACTGCTGCACAGTGGAAGTAAGCAGGCTCAGGCATAAGTGCAGGAAGTTTCGTCCACTGAAACGTCTGCAAATTCAGCTTCCAGAGATCCCCCAGGATAGTTTCTCCATCGTAACCACCACAGATAAACACCTCTGCAATGCAAACACAATTATTTGTTGTTATTTGTATTAGATTAGGCTACAGTCATATCTGGTAACAATGCAGATTTTTCTCAGAGGATCTTTAGTTTAACTGCTCACTGCCATACTGCTGGGCTAGCAGACTAGCCTCAGGGCAAGGATCATACTCTCATTAGAGCCTATTTATTTACCGCTAAACCTGACCCCCTTTGTGTTGATGGATCTCACACACTTCATATAAGCCTGTGATGGTGGTGAGAGGAGTGCAGGAGGCGAACTAGAACAGGATTCGAATGTATAATCAATGCCTCTATTCACGGCTATATTTTTAAAGGGACACCCCAGTACCCACCCCCCCAAAAAAAGTTAAAATAAATACATAATTTACTCTTTAGTATATATACTGCCAATACAACATTCATTTTTCATTGGGGTATATCTAAAAACAGCTTGAAAAGGTCAGACTGGTCTGCAGCCTTTGCAAGTCCTCTCCTTCTAACCCCGCCCAAACTTTCTGCGGCTGTCCAATCAGACTTCCCAATGCAGCTCAATGAGAAGAAAAGGCATGCATGTTTTCATTGTGGGTATATTTACTAAACAGTGATTTTAATTTATTTGTTTTTGCGGTGAAGTTTCCCTTTAAGCATTGTGGCTAACATAACTTGGCATCATTAGAAGATCATCCTTACATTAAAATGCAGCCATGATACTGATCCAAGGGCCCTTAATGCTTTCCTAAATACACGTTTATTTTCTTCAATTTGTTTTGCTTTTGTTTGTCTCTTTTTTCCACAATTTTATCAAAATGCTATAAAATGGACAACTATTTTGGATGGATCCCATCTGCTATTTTTTTTATTAGCCCCTTATTGCTACCATAACATGATTATCCTTAATTTGGTTATCTTCAAAGGCCATAGTATGAGGTTTCCCACTACTAGGTAACTAACTTAACCACCCACCCCAAACCTAGCGTACATCACTGGGATAAGGGCAGTCCCATATAAAAAAAAAAAAATTTTGTTGGGTTTTCTTATGGCTGTGCAGAGATTCCATTTTTCATCTACTTCCTCCATTTGCTACCCTCACAAAATCAATACAAGATTCATATACTTTAGGACTTTTAGGCTACCATGTTTTTCCTTCATGACTACTTCACTTACCAATTATTTTTGGCAACCTACTATCTCATTTTGTAGTGCTGGTGTGATTTATGATACTTGCTACTGGCTAAGCACCCCTATATTTTTGACACTTTCAATGTGTTTGACCAGACATTGGTGTTAACGGCAAATGGTATGGTCTTACATTTCATTACAGCCAATTATCTTAGCATTTATATGCTGTATCACTTGTTCTTTGTTTTGAGCTATAGTGTTTACCACATGTTCTTTAAAATTGCTTTTTTTCCCACTACATCGTTTTGCATTGCTTGCAATAATTCCCAATAAAGGTTGGAAGCTGTAGTGTTTTCCTAAGAATCCTCACTAACACTAAAGCTACAGTTTGAATTTCACAAACCATGCCTACCTTGCTTTATTTGGACACAGCTGTGGCACCTTCGGGCAGCAGGGAAACCTGCAACAGTAAAGACATTTCTTTCACGAACATAAGACAATTGCAAGATCTCAAATATAAGAAGAAACAGATTTTCGATGCGTACTCAAATGAATGCCTTCCACCATTTTAGCGGAGATATAAAAAAAAAAAGAAATGTAAAACAGTATTTCAAACTAACAGTGTTAAAAGAAGAGTTGGATTAGCTTACCTAAATTTTCGTGTGGCTTGGTGGGAATATCTTCCCAGGTGTTTGTTTCAAAGTTGTATGCGTGGATCTTTATATGAAAAGACAATGCAACAAGTTTAACAAGACTAATCTATGCAGGATATCCATTGCTTTTAAAATTATAGCATCCAATACCACCTGCTCTCACCAACAACTCTCAAAATACAACTGTGAATGAATAATAGGCAGGGGGTGCAGCGGAACAAAACACATACATGTATTAAAAAGAAAAATGATTAAACTGTTATATATAAATATTTGACCTTAAAAGTGCATGCTTTCAAACAATGCCATTTTAAGTGAAAATATTTTTCATCTATCCACTGTGCAAGCGAATACATATATATGAAAGGTTAGAAGACTTCACATTATTTTGAACGCCTTGAACTTTGCTTTTATCAGCCTGGTAATTTAGGGGTCTGGAGTGGCTGTATGAACAGCTGTTCCTTTCAAAGGAGGCAGAATTTAAACCTTCTGTGCATCCACCTGCTATGAGAATAGTGGGATTTTACTTGTATAATTTGGAGGCAGATTAGCTGTGCACACAGCTGCTGCGTCTTTTCATGGACGTCACTCTGTGAATTCTTACAAGTAACTAGCATGTAGAAACTTAATATGAATGAGAAAGGCCATTCTAGAATAATTGCAGTGCAGGAAGCGTGGGATTTATTTAGATGGTTGCGATCTGTATCCCAAGGTATTAAAAGTTACTTTACCTGATCTAATGAGTATGCAATCCAGGAGGTGCCACCACCCAAAACATAGATCCGCTGTCCATCGTGTGCAATTTCATGTCGGTACCTGGTTTTAAAAACAGCAAGCCATATAAAAGGGCAAAATTATAATAAAATACAAGCACAAGGAGATAAAACATTTTTTAGATACATAAATGAGAAAAGGAAAGTAAAACAAGGATTAGTTCGATTATAAACAAAAGGAGGAAGGTATGTAGAAGAGGATAAAGGTCTAGCTGACTGCCTCAATGAATATTTTTGTTCAGCATTTACAGATGAAAATTAAGGAAATGGACCTCAGTTAGGAAAAAGGACAACAGCCATTTGTTACATGTGAGTTTACAGAGGAAGAGGTTCTATTTTAACTGTCAAAAGTAAAGGCAAATAAGTCAATGGGGCCTGATGGAATACACCTAAAGTTATTAAAAGAGCTTAGTGGTGTACTAGCAAAAGCATTAACAGATTTATTTAACCAATCATTGTTAACAGGGGTAGTCCCAGAAGATATTGAATGTTGTGCCCATTCACAAGAAAAGGTAGTAGGCAGGGGTCGGGCAACTATAGGCCAGTAAGCCTTACTTCAGTAGTGGGGAAAGTGATGGAAACCATGTTAAAGGATAGGATTGATGAACATCTAAAACACATGGATTTCAAGATCAGAGACAACATGGGTTTACCTCAGGGAGATCATGCCAAACTAATCTTATTGATTTTTTTGATTGGGTAACTAAAATAATAGATCAGGGTGGGCAGTAGACATTGCTTACCTAGATTTCAGTAAGGCTCTTGACACTCTTGCACATGAAAGCTGTAACACAGCTAGGTTACAATGCTGCCACCCATCCCATGTGTTCCCTATTAAGGGTTAATAAGTATATAGGTGTGTATATAAAAAATACCCCTCTCTGTCTCATATCTTTGCCAGAGGCTCAAGGAAGCAAGGTGAAGGGTCAGTGAAGGACCAGTCTAGGGGGGTCTGCCTTGACGTTGGCAGGCGGGCATTCCCTCCGGGGCCATTGGAGTAACTAAATGACCTCCATTTGTTTAAATATACATAGGGATTAAGGAGAGAGCATAGGGATTAAGGAGAGAGCACAGGTAACTTTTTCTTTGGTTTTTACTATATGTATTGGAGCTGATGTGTACTGTGGTCGTTGCTGTCGCCCAGGAGTGATGGGAGTGGGTGCAGGACTTGTTTTTTTGTATTTGTAGACAATGTAATGGAGCAGAAGACAATGCAAGCAAAATGCTTGTTTGTATAGGGAGAGGTATTAGCAGTGGGAAGAGCTCATGCCATTGTACAGAACACTGGTGAGACCTCATTTGTAGTATTGTATGCAGTACTGGAGACCGTATCTCCAGAAGGATATTGATACCTTAGAGAGAGTTCAGAGAAGGGCTACTGAACTGGTTCATGGATAGCAGGATAAAACTTACAAGGAAAGGTTAAAGGATCTTAACATGTATAGCTTGGACGAAAGAATAGACATGGGTGATAGATAGAAACATTCAAATACATAAAGGGAATCAACACAGTAAAGGAGCAGACTATATTTAAAAGAAGAAAAACTACCCTTAGACCAGCTGGTTGTCACCCTTATACGGTACTTACAGTTTTACTACTTTGGGGCGTGTGATCCACAGTTTGAGGTGGCGGCTCTCTGGGCCGAGGTGAGCGATTTTACTAGCTACGCAATCAGGAAGTGGTCATGACACTAAAACTCACTTCTCTGAACGTATAAGGCCTCAATACTTCTAAGAAATGGCACCTCATGTTACGAGAACTCAAGCGCCTAAATTCCGATATAGTTTTCCTACAGGAGACCCACATCCCCATGCATGCCGCGTTCCCACTACGGGACCATGTGTACAGCACATCTACAGAGGCCCGCACTCCCTGCAAATGTAATGGGGTAGCAATCCTGACACGCAGGTGGTGTCCTTTTCGCATCACGCCCACAGATTTGGATCCGAATGGGCGGTACATTATGCTTTTGGGCACCCTCCACCTGATCAATATATATGCACCTAATGCACCAGAGTCCAATTACTGGAGTGGCATTGAGAACAAACTCCACTTTCTCCCCAATGGAATTATAATATTGAGAGGGGACCTAAAAGTGGCGCTGTGCCCAGCTGTGGACAGGAGCTCCTGTAGCAGAATTCCCAGATCTCATAATATGGGCATCCAAGATAAGTTGATGCGCAAATTTATGAAGTCAACAGGCCTGGTGGACATATGGAGAGCACATCATCAGAGTGATGTTTACTACGCGTTTTTCTCTGCACCACATGGCACATATTCATGTATTCACCTCTTCCTAGTAAACAGTCTTAGCGTGGCCAGAATCACAGGATCCAATGTGGGCTCCATAACATGGTCTGACCACACTAAGCTTCCACGTCCATGGTGACGCTACACACAAGTTCCATCATTGGGCTGATTTCAATGCATCCTTTCTACGGGACACCATTATTACGGCAGCGGTTAAAAAGGACATCGCAGAATATTTTGCAAAAAAAAATATAACGGAACCGAGCACGGGTACAATATGGGCTGCGCACAAAGCGGTGATCAGGGGCACACTCAGATTGGAAACCCTAAAAAAGAAACAGAAAATCCAGAGATTAAACACAACTTTTAAACTCCTTGGGGACCATAGAGCAGAGACATAAATCGAACCACACGGATGACATCTTATCCCAATTAGTAACGGTGAGCTCACCCATCAAGAACTTATTCCTTGATGATACGGCCTGGGCAATCATCTGGTCCTAATAGACCTTTCTACGAAAAGGCCAATTAAATGGACACCTTGCTAGCTAGGTCACTACGGCCATGATAGCAGCATACTCACGTGACCTCCCTTCGACATGCAAACGGGTCTATAGGACTAACCCGATAGACATTGCTTTGATAGTCACCAATTTCTATAATGTAGCGGAGCTCCAGTAACCAAGCATAGGGATCTCTGCGGTTAGTCCTTGTAGCCGAAATAAGCAGTAAAATATCCCAAAACACTTTCCCCCAGTTACTGGACGACGACACAAAGCACACAGTTTAAAACCCTCAGTCTCATTTACTTACAATGGTGCATAGAGTACTAGAGTATAAGGAAGGGTGCGGTCAGACAATAGCAAGGGCTGATGGGAGATTGAGGAGGGACAAAGCAGCTAGTTTAAACTGGTCTGGCAGTGTCCCTGGGACAACACATTGCTGGGGAAATAATAGGACAGGAAAAAATAAGGGGAGGGGGAGAGGTACAGACAAGCAGTACATTAACATACCCTGCACCAATAATGGGCACAGGGTGGCCAAAATACAAAAGGAATCTGGGGACCCACACGGTTTGTTTGGTGTACGGACAGCCGAACAAAAGGGAAAAAGTGTAGCTAGAGCAACCATTCCACTACATATAAAATCACTATATAACCATTCCCCCACGGACCACCGCAAACAGAGGGATGAGAGAGCCAGTACACACACACATTCCTCTCAACCTTGGGGTTACCTAAATTGAGCTCCAAAGCCGCTGACGTCATAAACTCCCCAGTAACAACCAAAGAGATTAACAAAGCGATTTGGGGACTCAAAGGGAACAAGGCCCCTGGACCAGATGACTTAGATGGAAGCGATTATAAACTTTAGGTGAGAACTGACTCCTCACCTGGCTACTTTATTTAATGACTTCAGAGACAAGGGCCTGCAAGATAAGACATGTCCCCATCTACAATAGTTCTTCCCACTAAACCAGGCAAAGATCCATTACTCCCAGAACACTACTGACCCATATCGCTCAACCATGACACGAAGCTCCTAGCGAAAATACAAGCGCTCTTCCAGTAGGGCTGTCTGCGGCAGGCACGGCATCCATTCGAGAAGCTCACTCTCTGAAGATAGCAACTTGCTCGATCTCATATCTAGGGATCCAGTTATCTGCTGACCCATTTAAGTTATACATTGAATTACATACCTTCTACTAAAACTCCTTATGAAGGACTTGGAGAAATGGATAGATAAACCTATCTTGTGGATAGGACGGATCCACACAATCAAAAGGAATGTCCTCCCGAGGATCCTTTCTTTTTCAGGCTCTGCCAGTACATGTTACCAAAGCGGGACTGGCATCACTACAACAAGCAATAGGTGCATTTATGTGGCAAAACAAATGCCACATGGTGTCCTGAAACATACTGTATCGGCCAAAATGACAGGAAGGCCTAGGGTTACCAAACCTTTACTTTTATTATGTCGCAGTTCAGTTGGCCTAGGTGGCAATGTGGCATGCCCCCCTCAAAGAGAGAAGATGGGTGGATGTGGAATCGCTCCTGATGCAATCAGATCTCCCACAATATATCATGTGGGTCCCCAAGGAACACAGACTGCCATTCCAATGCATTCAGATTATGTCAGCCAAGGAAGCAGATAAAGAGTAGAATAAAGTCAAGCTTTTACTATATTTAGGGGAGCAAGGCAGGGATATATAGTGTTTTTAACATTATAGGGTCAGGAATACAGGTTTGTGTTCCTGCATCTATAGTGTTCCTTTAAGGTAAGATGTAATTCTCATAATAGGTTCACTTTAAGGCTAAACATTTCTATTGTAAATTATGGTCTCTTGCCTCTACAACATGAAACCACAGAAGGGATTGTATATAATGGGTAGGCAGGGGAAAAGGGATAAATTGAGCAGAAGGATTGCTCAGTGTAAACATTTTACCTCTCTTCAGGAAGGTCGCACGGTGGATTATTTGGCTTCAGTTGAGTCCATTCTCTGGTAGAGAGGTCCAGACGATGCAGATCTGTACTATAAATATAACCAGTGGTTCCTCCAAACACGTACAAAAAACCATTTATAATAGTCATTGCCTATAAAAAAATTAAAAAAATAAAAAAAAAATTGATAATTTAGGATTATACTACTCACACCCAGCAATGATCATTATTAAAATAACATTTTTCTCTCCCCAAAATGAAACACTAATTAGTAGTGAAAGGGGTACATCTAGTAGGTTGTCTTGTATTCATCACTCTGCAACAAATATCCTTTATTTGTATTGAGTTGGGGAGAATAGTTTCAAGTCCAACTGCCTCTTGGGTTTAATTTATTAAAAATTCTGCAAGTTTATTTACATTGGTTTTCTTGACAAAGCCAGAACATCAGATGCAAATGAATTTCAACTCAACAGTGCCAAGTGCTCACATGCCACTGTGGAAAGAATGCCAAATTACCCTATTCTCAGCAAAATAAAGTACATACAAACCCAGAGCATCATGAACCAATGATTGTCTTGTAAAGAGAAGTGCAGTGAAGCGTTTTGCTTTTTTTAAACTTCTCTCTGCTGCAAGAGTTACTCTAACCAAACATAGTGTGTTATTAAAACACTTTTTGTTGGAGTAACCTTTCATAGAAAGGGTCGCTAACCATGTAATTAACCACTTCGTGACCAGACCACTTTTCAATTTTCTTACCGTTTGAGAACAGGGCTGTTTTTACATTTCTGCAGTGTTTAGCTGCAATTTTCCTCTTACTCATTTACTGTACCCACACATACTATATACAGTTCATATAGTATACAGTTTATATAGTATGAAAAAACAAAACAAAACAACAAAACCACACACTTTTTTAATCCCCAAAATCTGTTACACATCTACACCCACCAAAAAAACCCGCGCTAAATAGTTTCTAAATTTTGTCCTGAGTTTAGAAATACCCAATGTTAACATGTTCTTCGCTTTTTTTTTGGAAAGTTATAGGGAAATAAGTACAAGTAGCACTTATTTTTCTCTAAATTAACGCAAGTTACATTGTAACACTAATATCTGTCAGGAATCCCTGAATAACCCTTCACATGTATATACTTTTTAAATGAAGACAACCCAAGGAATAAAACTCGGGGTATTTTGACTCTTCGTGCAACCATTTTACCACCAATCTATGCCAAATTAATAAATACAAATAATTTATTTTTTTGACACACATAGCAATTTAAGAATACATGTATGGAGAACTTTAAGGGTTACTGCCAAAAAACACCCCCAATATGTTTTCAGCAACATCTCCTGAGTATAGGGATACCATCCATGTATAGGGGTGTTGGGTTCTCTGGGGGCTAGAAGACCTTAATTGGAGGGTGCGCATTCCAGTTTACCAACTTGGAATTTTCACAGCTGGTCATCATGCAGCCATGTTTGGGACATTTTTGAAGCCGGCCAATGTAAATTTACCCATATCAAACAATATATATTTAAAAATTAGACACCCTATGGTATTTCAAATGGTTGTATTTTAACACTTTCCATGCACTTATTCTACCACCAGTCTTTGTCAAACTTTTGGGTCGTCATTTTTTTTGTTACTTTTCTCGCACATTGTACATTAGGCATGGATTCTCAGTTCGTGTTATGTGTTACTGACAAAGAACACCCCGATATGTGTTCAGCAACATCTCCAGAGTACAACAGTGCCCCCAATATACAGGTTTTATGGGTTTTTGCAAACTTACAGGTGTCAAATGTAGGGCTTTCCCCTTTGGCAAATTAAAATGTGCAAACATGGGAGATAGGCCCAGCAAACCAATGTTGCCTTTGAGACCATATATATGGCCCCCACACCGTTACCCCTTCTCCCCCTGCCCTCACATTGCCCCTCCACACGGTTACCAGCACACACACTCCCTCCCACACGGTCACCCATCACCTCCTGTCTTTGCGTGTATATATCTATATATCTATATACACACACACACACACACACACACATATACACACACATATATACACACAATCCACTACACATGCACTGCAATCAAAAGCAAACATTACATACAAACACACTCCTGCATTAACACACTAAAATTATATACAAACACCCCTTCGTTCAAACACCAACACTACACACAAATAGCACACCTGCATTCAGACGCAAACATTACAAACAAGTACACCACTACATTCCAATGGCAACAGTATATACAAATACACCCATACATACACATATACTTAATACAAAAACATGCTTACATTCAAACGCTCAAACACTGCTCACAAATATAAGCCTGAAACGATGCGCAGATGGTAGATCCCCCAGCTGGCAAAGCATTGTTGAAGTTCTCCGACAGATTGAGACCTTGTGAAAGCTGGTTGAGTACAATAAGGTGTTCCGGTCCCATGGTTTCTTATACAAAGTGAAGACAATCTTATCATTCGATCTACTCTACATACCTCCACATCTAGGAATTGAATTTTTTCTTCATCATAATTTAAACTTAAGATGGAGATCCTCCATCATTTAATTCAATCATCGAGGTAAGTTCGCCTTCAGATCCAGACCAAATAATAAAAATATCGTCCACGAACCTGTGGTATGAAATAATTTGCGAACTGTAGCGGTGGAGAATATTGGACCTTTCAAAAATATAGCAGTTTGCATAGGGCAGTGCTATAGCCGATCCCATTACCGTCCCCCTTTGCTGAATATAAATATTCTTCTCAAATCTAAATTGTGATACAATAAAAATTCAAGGCACTCAATTAAGAACTCTATGGGTGGACCCCTGTCACTTGTCACTTTCACATGGCCATGTACGTATAGCTTCAACTCCAGCACTGTGTGGTATAATTGTGAAGAGATTCTTCACATCAACCGTCGCAAAGATCACGGAGGAATCAGGAAGTATCAGCCCTCTCATTTTCGACAGGAGGTCTTGAGTATCTTCCAGGCAGATATCTTCAATGCTGGATTTACAGTGGTAAAATACAAAGTTCACCCAAGGTTCTAATAACCCTGCTCAAGCCAAAACTATGAGTCTCCTTGTGAACCTTTGGTAAGGTGTGCGGCACTGGTATTTTTGGGTTTTCATTCAACAGGAAAGCTCCTATATAATTATCCAACCATCCTGTGGATATCCCTCGTCACACCAATGCTCGTAATTTTTCAAGGATTGAAGTTGTAGGATCATAAGTAATTGATAAGTAGTACCATCACCAAGTTGTTTCAAAACCTTATCTCTGTAATCCTTGCAATCCTGAATTACTATCGCACCCAGTTTGTCTGCCGGTCTGATAGTAATGTGGTCATCATCCTTCAGATCTTTCAGGGCTGCTTTTTCACCTGCTGTTAAATTGTCTCCCCTATACTTGTTCTTACTCAAAACCTTTTCACATCATTACGTATAAGTTGTCCAAACGTCTTGATGGAAGCATGCGTAGTTTTGGGTTCCCTTGTACTCTTTAGTTTAAATGGATGTTTCTCTTACTGACACCATTGGTCTCTGGACATGTTAAGATTAAGAGTCCTGTTCATCTTGAATAATTCCATGTCTAAAATAAATCTGTCCAGTCCTGTAAATGGTACAAAAAGTCAAACCCTTGGATAAAATCTTAATGTGATCAACTGTTAACCGTTTAGAAGATAAATTGAAAACTGGACTCATTTTGTCATTATTGGTGGTTTGGATCTTAGGTCCACTTAGGCACATTATATTTCATGCTTAACAGACCACATCATATATTTAATTTCTTGTCCCTGTGGTTTGTTTTACGTTGATAAAACGGAATTAACCCTCAGGGACAGAATTAGAGGGATGGGAAGACAAAAAACAGTGGTGAAACTCAAATTCATCGCCATAGATGTGATACCCATTCTAACCAGAGGCAGAGATCGTTCCAGGTTATTGCTACAAAAAGAAACCTTTTGGATCAAGCAGTTGGATTCTATACATCCTAAAAGGTCTGAATGAGTACATATCATTCAGCTCGTTTCTGGATGTCCCTAAATGTTTAATTGTTTAGGTGTATGGATCCTAGATCATATGATTTTTAATTCATCGTAGATATATTCACATTATTTATTGTTTAATCATTATAATTTTCCTTTATTGGCATTAACAGCTATATTGCTTCTGATTTTTGTTTATCAGGGATGTATTATATTATAGTAGAAGTTATCTTGTATTGGATGATATATGTATGAATATCAATATCTATATTGGATTGTTAGGTGGTGGACCATTCACATTAGGGTTTCACACATTTTTCTTCTCCTTTTTCTCATTTTTTGTTCACTACGTTGGTCAGTTATTTACATTATTACACGGTTATATATTTTTTGTTATCACTTTATTTTTACACAGGTTTCTCTTTTTTTTTTTTAGATATCTATTTAGGTTTTCTTATCTATACACATTCTTCAGACATTTTTACTTCTTAGGTTCTTGTTACACCTTTTCTACACACACGTTTTCCTTTTTCTGCAATCTCCACCACTCTAATTGGTTCAATTATGTCTAAATGTCTTCCACAGATTCTCCCGTGTCTATGACCCGATCACAGGTTCTCTTTTAACATCTATATTGTTTCCTCCATGCAGTGCGCATGTCACTGAGGTTGTTGGCATCATTTCTATGGATACCCATTGCCATTCACGTCATCACGCGTGCGCACCGCAGGTAAATTAGGAATCAAATCACTTAGATGGGGTAAGTTATACACTTAAAAAGGTCAGTTTGTCTACCAGACAGTCACTGGGGGTGCTTCTGGAATCCAGCCATTGAGGGCAGACTTAGAGCTCTGGAACTGCAATGTTTTACATTGCAGCACTAAGTGCATTAGGGACACAGCACCTAGACAACGTCAATTAGCTGAAGTTGTCTGGGTACCTACAGTGTCCCTTTAACCAAGTAACATTATGCAATTCTGACCACAGGTCTACAAATCCTTTAATTCGCTTAGTTTCTGGACTTTCTAGGTATTAACTATTGGTTACTAATCTTTAAATTGGCAACATACAAACAACTGGGGTTGTCTAATGGAGATGACACACTCCCACACATATTGGTGAGACTTTTTCTAGGATGAACATCAACTTAAACTCAATACCTGTCCATAAATGCGGTTGGGTTTTTTTCCACGACAGCTGAGCAGTGCCCATCTCTTGTACTTCACGTTACAAACATGTACATCATTACCATTGCTCTCTCCAAACGGGATTCCAGTGCCCCCAAAGACGAGTAGGTTGTAGCCATGTAGAACCACTAGGTGTGCAAATAAGGACAAGACAATTTTCCATTAGCATGTGCAAATGAAGGCATGGAAAGTTCTGTAAATTTATCGTTTATATTATATCATATTTTATATTAAAATGTATGTTTTGCAGTGAGAGTGAATAGGTCACAAAGGTTCCTAAAAAAAAAAAAAAAATAATTAAAAGAAACACAATCCCATGGGCTCTCTCCTTTTTTTGTAATAGAATATCCTGAAATATATTAAAAAAAACAACAAAAAAAAAAACCACACACGCATTGGAATCATTTCTGAAAACTACAGATTTAGATTAAAGGGACATTGCCCAAATATAAAAATAAAACAAAAACAGATGGAAGGAATGCATGTCCAATTTTTACATGCAATGTACGTTTCCATAATGTCACTGTGGCAGTATTGAGGGTTACATGGTAGAGATACTGTCTCTGGCAGTATTGGGGGTTACATGGTAGAGATACTGTCTCTGGCAGTATTGGGGGTTACATGGTAGAGATGCTTTCTCTGGCAGTAAGGGGGGTACATGGTAGAGATACTGTCTCTAGAAGTATTGGGGGTTACATGGTAGAGATGCTGTCTGGCAGTATTGGGGGTTACATGGTAGAGATGTTGTCTCTGGCAGTATTGGGGGTTACATGGTAGAGATACTGTCTCTGGCAGTATTGGGGGTTACATGGTAGAGATGCTGTCTCTGGCAGTAAGGGGGGTACATGGTAGAGATACTGTCTCTTGCAGTAAGGGGGGTACATGGTAGAGATACTGTCTCTGGCAGTATTGGGGTTTACATGGTAGAGATACTGTCTCTGGCAGTATTGGGGGTTACATGGTAGAGATGTTGTCTCTGGCAGTATTGGGGGTTACATGGTAGAGATGTTGTCTCTGGCAGTATTGGGGGTTACATGGTAGAGATGCGGTCTCTGGCAGTATTGGGGGTTACATGGTAGAGATGCGGTCTCTGGCAGTATTGGGGGTTACATGGTAGAAATGCTGTCTCTGGCAGTAAGGGGGGTACATGGTAGAGATCCTGTCTGTGGCAGTATTGGGGTTGCATAGTAGAGGTCCTGTCTGTGGCAGTATTCGGGTTGCATGGCAGAGATCCTGTCATGTGAGATCAGGTCTGTGGCAGTATTGGGGTTACATGGCAGAGGTCCTGTCTGTGGCAGTATTGGGGTTACATGGCAGAGATCCTGTCTGTGGCAGTATTGGGGTTACATGGTAGAGATCCTGTCTGTGGCAGTATTGGGGTTACATGGCAGAGATCCTGTCTGTGGCAGTATTGGGGTTACATGGTAGAGATCCTGTCTGTGGCAGTATTGGGGGTTACATGGTAGAGATCCTGTCTGTGGCAGTATTGGGGTTACATGGCAGAGATCCTGTCTGTGGCAGTATTGGGGTTACATGGCAGAGATCCTGTCTGTGGCAGTATTGGGGTTACATGGCAGAGATCCTGTCTGTGGCAGTATTGGGGTTACATGGTAGAGATCCTGTCCGTGGCAGTATTGGGGTTACATGGTGGATAAGATCCGTAGATGGGGATTGCAGTAAGGAGCACATTCTTAACTCTGTAATAGAGCCGTTCACCTCGCCCGAGTTTCAGATTCACAGTCTAGCGACTTTCCACTGAGCAGGGAATTAGCACCATCTTGCACAAGGTCAGGAGAGCACTTTGGTTGCTCTGACTTTGATAAAAAGGTTTCTGCTTTCAATGGGTAACCATAGCGGAGCAAAAGGTTAATGCCACACAAAATAGTTGTATAACTGCTTTAAGCCGCTTATATTGTCACTGTTTTGCCACTCTGTAGGGAGCAACAAGTTAAGTGCTCATTCCAGTCAACTGAAGGCAACCCCCTACCCCCGCACCAGAAGATCGTTTTAACAGCAGACATAATGAGCAATTTCACAATTTGGTCTTATATTGGTTTGTAGAGGTCTCAAAAACCCTGAGATGGCATTCATTTACCACTAATACAAGACTCAGGGCTATGTGGAATACACAACGATGATACACAGACACATTTGTTTCTCAATGTATTCCTTTATTTCTGTTGTGCTAACCTGCTCTTTAATGCCTGAACCCTGTAATTAGAATTGTGATTTTCATATTTCTTCTCGTTAGAGGTGTAATGGTGAGTAAAAGCCTATATAAGTATGTGTGTGTGTGTGTGTATATATATATATATATATATATATATATATAAAAAATATTAAAAAAAAATGAAGTGGTCTAGTGCCAGGTCCCCCTAGTTTTAACCCTGCAGCTGTAAACAGTTTCAGAGGAAAGTGGTTTGAATGTGCGCGCGGCTCTTGCCATGCATTCGGAGACGATGTCGGCAGGGGGAGGAGAGGTCACCAGCGCCGAGGGAGCCCAGTGCTGGATTGAGGTAAGTGGCTGGAGGGGGTTTTAAAAACTTCTGCCCAGCAGGAGGGGGGGGGCACCTAATAACCCTATGGTGCCAGGAAAAAGTTTGTTTTCCTGGCACTATCGTGCTCCTTTAAAGATCCAAAAATGTAGAGTAAAAAGGATTTCAGTGAAGCCATAAAATAACTAATAGCTATTAAGTGATTTAAAGTGAACTTGCCATTGGCTCTCATTCATACAATAACTTTAAAAAGTGATTCCTTTCCATACTCACATGACATTGATGCCAGTTCTCTTGGCATATAGCCATCTGTGCCCATTTGGTGCCAAGTCCCAGTAGCAAAATGGTATCGCCAGAGTTCTCTGAAGAGGGGGTAATCTTCATTTTCAGGCCCACCTGATTCATCATAATCTGGATTGTATCCTCCGAATACATATAGATTAGTGTTGTCTGCCACACAGCGGTGTCCACTTCGTGCAGGAGGTGATCTACGACCTATAAATTCAGTATTAAAGAATCAAAATTTCCAGTTATATATGGCAATGTTCAACTAGGCAAAAAGGACAGAAACGTTGAGGTTAAGCTTTCCATCAGTAAAGCAAAAATAGGAATAACTCACTAACAAATGGCCATGCATCATAAACAAAGCTTTAGCGTATCAAGAATAGAAATATAGATTTGTTAGGGCACAATAAACCACAAATAATTATGGGCTGAATAAGTAATTAAATCATAGTTCAAGCATTAAGTGTTAACATGATTGACCACAGGATAAAAGAAAGCATTCTATATTCTTATTTCTCCCAGTCATTACTTTATTACTCATCATGTGTTATCTTCAATGGAAAAAACATTAGTAGTTAACACCTAACAAAGTTATCTCTCTCATTCCAACACACTAATCACAGATTTCAATCCACAACATTCTTTGTAATAACTACTTTCACCACAACCATGCCTTGCTTTCTCCACCCCCCCCCCACCACCAAGAACTATAACCTCTTTCTTTGTGGTCTGTCTTACCAGTGACTGAAGACTGAAAACGTTATTCACATGATTTGTAGTGTGCTTTTTTCAACATTTAAAATGTATTAACAGATAGGTTTGCTTAATTATTTTGTACACCATTATACTGATTTTCTATAGATTAATGTTAGTTCAATATTCCAAGAGACAAACTTTATTAAAGCTGTAAAAAACACATATTAAAAGACAATTATTTGAGAACCTCCATAAAACAACTGTGCCAAGAATGCAACAGCTTATTCCCAAGTTAAAACCGTATTAATTTGGGGGGGGGAGAGGGAACAAGCAGCCATACGGAGAGGATGCACATGCCTTGAGCGAAAAACACTTAAGCTAAAGCTTAAGCACTCTTTGAAGCAGCTTGTACTCCAGAAGGCATGGGGCGAATAAATAAAAAAAAAAAAAAATCTAAGCCAGATAGATAACCCATAGGTAAACATAGCAGTTTCTCTGAAACTGCTATGTTTACAGAAAAAAGGGTTAAACCTAGCTGAATTAAGCTGAAGTGGTCCTTTAATAAAATGGTACTATAGAGGCTAAATAAAATGCTCACAAAGTCAAGGGTAAAAAAAAATGGCTATGGTGGTACAGAAAATTATTATTAAGGAAGGGCTACAATTAGCTCCAGAAAAGAAATGGCAAAGCATTTAATTCTTTTTACCAAGAGCTATATAATCTGCCTAATCAACCAGATAACCCAGAAGCATATTTTAAAAACTAAAAAAAAAAGATGAAAATTATCGACAGAACAAATAAATTCCATTAATAAAAGGTAGGATACAACACAAGTATGGAAAAGGTGGCGCTCAAAAATAAATCTCAAAATCAAGTGTGTTTGTATAGCTGCTGTGTACACTCTGTGGGTACTCCCAATACCCCACTACATAGAAGTAATCACCAAAGAACAGAAACTATCAGTCTGAATAGGTGTTTCTACCCTTCAGGCTGTTAGTTTAGAGTGCAGCGCTTGTGGTATAGCGTGAGGTGAATATCCCTGGATTGAAGTGTATAAAATCCGCTTACCCTTAATGGTACTTTTATATGAGTACATAGAAAAAAAAAACAAAACAAAAAAAAAAGATACAAATAATAGTGCAATATTGTATGCAACCAAGAATTAATTTGTGAGTTATAAATACGGATAAACTCATATTTAGAGCCTTTTGGAGATCTAAGGCTCTAAACTTCCAGGTGTCTGTGTCTTTAAGGTAGATCACATAACCTTCTTGTAGTTGAATGATAGATGTATTTCTCCCCACGTCATATATGGTTAATAGATACAGAGAAAGAAAAGTGATACTCTAAGTGCAGTATATCCAATGGTCATTGTGAACAGGAATAATGCATAACAATGCTCACCTTGTAAAGAGCCTTTTGAAAACTGGCTCCAAGTATATGAAGCCTTTTAACGGCCTCCCTTTCTCAAGTCTAAAGCATTTCTGAGCAAAACAACACAGAATTCAGAAGGAAGGGGGGGGGGGAGAGAGGAGGTGGAGGGAAGAGAGAGAAAAAAAAAAGCAAAACAGTGCAGAAGATGGTGCTAGATTGGGAGAGCAAAAATAAAAAAAATTATAACTATTAAGAATGCATGAATTCCCATCCAAGAGTTATAGGATATGCATGAGGGCCTATATCCAGCATACACAGACACATGTACATATACACAAGTAGTGTATATTGTACAAGTATACACAAGTACATATAAATACAACCAAATTACCGAATATATGTACATGCACACCTACACCCACACACCAATACATGTACCCCCCCTCCAAAAAATAATATAATATTAATTATTAATTAATTTCTCATATTTTTTTACATTTTTATTTTTTTAAACCTTTCATTGGGAGGCAAATAAACATTTTGACAATTATACATCATAGGTAATAGTCATAAATAAAAATAATACATAACTAAGACATGGCTACTGATGTGACAACGACCTCATTTAAAAACTAAGTGAATATTAAACAGTTTATGGAGAAGCCTCCCGTCAGACTAACAATAGAAAGACACAGCTAAGATGTATTAGACTATTGCCTGTGTAGTCTTATCAGCAGTAGAGCAAAAACTATATTATATAGGACAATTCTTACTCCCATTATCAGAATTTTCTTTTCTTGGCCATTTCTGTGATGGCAGCATTACTTAAAGGACCACTCTAGGCACCCAGACCACTTCAGCTTAATGAAGTGGTCTGGGTGCCAGGTCCAGCTAGGGTTAACCCATTCTTTCATAAACATAGCAGTTTCAGAGAAACTGCATGTTTATGAATGGGTTAAGCCTTCCCCCTGTTTCCTCTAGTGGCTGTCTCATTGACAGCCACTAGAGGCGCTTGCGTGCTTCTCACTGTGATTTTCACAGTGAGAGCACGCAAGCGTCCATAGGAAAGCATTGTAAATGCTTTCCTATGCGACGGGCTGAATGCGCGCGCAGCTCTTGCCGCGCGTGCGCATTCAACCCAGGAGGAGGAACGGAGGAGGAGAGAAGGAGGAGAGCTCTCCGCCCAGCGCTGGAAAAAGGTAAGTTTTTAACCCTTTCCCCCTTCCAGAGCCGGGCGGGAGGGGGTCCCTGAGGGTGGGGGCACCCTCAGGGCACTATAGTACCAGGAAAACGAGTATGTTTTCCTGGCACTATAGTGGTCCTTTAAGGTGTTAAATCACCACTTAGTCAGGACAGAACGTATCAAATCTTAAATTCTGGCAGATATTGGTAAGATTTTTCTTATTTCCTGGCCAACAATGGTGAATGGGGAATCCCCAAACCAAGAAAGGAGGAGGAATAAGTGTATTGCAGAGATTATATGTATTCAAAGCCTTAAGAGGATATGGATATATCCATCAGAATGTCCAGGCAGTAATTCCTTGTAAGAGTAGAATATGAAGCGCAGGTAGCAGCTCTACAATTTTTCCCGTGGCGAAGAAGAGAAGGACGAAGAGGTCGCCATTTGCCCAGTTAGAGTTAAGTCTGGTGACTCCAATCCTTATCCAGGGAGGGATTTCTCAATAGCCAGCGAGAACTATTCAACAATTCAAACGCAACAGTATAGGTTATGAAAAACTCACAAAACTCAAATGCAGAATGTGAAAGTAAAGTATAACAGGATATCAAGCTCATAGATCTCAAAACAGTTTATCAAATTCCCTAGATTTCATCTGTATCTGTGTTCTGTCAAATAAGATACATGGGAATAAACAGAAGAGCTTCCAGTCCACACCCAAAGAATGAAAATTAGTAAATGTGTGATCATCTGTACTTTATAATCATGCATAACCTCCAAACAAAAGACCACAACTCCGAGAGAGAGACTGATACAGTCCATGCATCTGAGGGTTCAGTCACCGCCACATATTTCACTGCTAGTATATCAGTTTAGGAGGGAGAGAGAGGAAATAAAAAAAAATAAAAAAAAAAAAAATAACAGAGCTGAGCATACACATTCCCAACATACATTGGGGCAGACATTAGGACGCTCTAGAACCAAACATCACATGCAGGTTCATAAAATGTAAATGATCTGTAATCAGCAGATGATCTCAACAGATAAAGAAGCAAAATATGGGTGGGGAAAAATACTAAAATTCTCTATATACTGCCAAATATATTTATGTATGAGCCAGGACTTGACAAATTTGCTTGGAATCTAGGAGCCAGCTTTAAAAAAAAAAAAGCCAGTTGTGTTTGTTTTTTTATAAACCACTATTTTCAACAACAAAAATACAATTCTTAACCCCTTCAGGACGGAGTCAATAGTACACGTTCTGATCAAAACAAAATGTAAACAAAAACTGGAATTTGCGCTAGGTCTGTTCAACCGTAATTCACCTCTTTCATATTAAGTGCACCCACAATTATATATCATTTTGTTCAGGAGAAACTGGGCTTTAATTTCTCATGAACTATTCATATTTGAAACAAAAAAATAAGACAGAGAGCTGTTAGCTTTAACTGCAATAAAACACCATATTTGGATTCAGCAAAGTCTCACGAGTACAACAGTACCCCCCATTAACAGTTTTTACAGTGTTGTGGAAAGTTACAGGGTCAAATATAGCACATTCCATTTTTCTGTTTTTTTCAAATTGAAATTTGCCAGATTAGTAATGTTACCTTTGAGACCGTGTGGTAGCCCAGGAATGAGAATTACCCCCATGATGGCATACCATTTGCAAAAGTAGACAACCCAAGGTATTGCAAGTGGGGTATGTCCAGTCATTTTTAGTAGGCACTTATTCACAAACACTGGCCAAAGTTAGCGTTCATATTTGTTTTTGTGTGAAAAAAGCAAAAAACTAATATTTGGAGAGTGTTTTTTCAATACCTTGGGTTGTCTACTTTTGCAAATGATATGTCATCATGGGGGTAATTCCTGGGCTACCATATGGTCTCAAAGGCAACATAACCAATCTGGCAAATTTCAATGTATTTGACTCTCTAAAACACTATAAAACCTGTACATAGGGGGTACTGTTATACTTGGGAGACTTCACTGAACACAAACACAAGTGTTTCAAAACAGTAAAACATATTACAATATATCGTCAGTAAAAGTGACGCTCGAGTGTGAAGAAAAAAAACCAAAAAAAAACCACTTTTACTAAAATATATCATCGTTTTAATGCAAGTTACCATTTTGAAACACTAATATTTGTGTTCAGTGAAGTCTCCCGAGTAAAACAGTACCCCCCATGTACAGGTTTTATGGGGTCTTAGAAAGTTACAGGGTTAAATTTAGTGCGTGTTTATTAAATTCTCTGCACGGGTTTTCAGGCATGTCAATCCAATTTTAACTAATTAAATCACATAATTATGTTAAAAGATTACTTAAATATATACGTAGAATTTTAATATATATGTATTTAAATTCTATGTGTATAATTATGTAGTTATTTATGAAATTATATATATCATTCTAAGTGTATTATATATTAATAGTTACCTATATATTAACAAAATACAGTTAGAATGAGATTTCATATGTATAATTTAAAAAAAATATTTTATATTTTAATTATTGTAATTATACGTGAATATAGAGATATATATATATATTATATATACACACACACACACACACACTTATATTAACATTAAAATACACACACACAGCTCAAAAAAATAAAGGGAACACAAAAATAACATCCTAGATCTGAATATTTCTTCTGAAATACTTTGTTCTTTACATAGTTGAATGTGCTGACAACAATAATCACACAAAAAAAATCACACAAAAATTTAAAAATCGAAATCAAAATTTTTCAACCCATGGAGGTCTGGATTTGGAGTCACACTCAAAATTAATATTGAAAAACACACTACAGGCTGATCCAACTTTGATGTAATGTCCTTAAAACAAGTCAAAATGAGGCTCAGTAGTGTGTGGCCTCCACATGCCTGTATGACCTCCCTACAACGCCTGTGCATGCTCCTGGTGAGGTGGCGGATGGTCTCCTGAGGGATCTCCTCCCAGACCTGAACTTAAGCATCTGCCAACTCCTGGACAGTCTGTGGTGCAACGTGACGTTGGTGGATGGAGCAAGACATGATGTCCCAGATGTGCTCAATTGGATTCAGGTCTGGGGAACGGGCGGGCCAGTCCATAGCATCAATGCCACATGAGGACTAGCATTGTCTTGCATTAGGAGGAACCCAGGGCCAACCGCACCAGCATGTGGTCTCACAAGGGGTCTGAGGATCTCATCTCGGTACCTAATGGCAGTCAGGCTACCTCTGGTGAGCACATGGAGGGCTGTGCGGCCCCCCCAAAGAAATGCCACCCCTCACCATTACTGACCCACTGCCTAACCAGTCATGCTGGAGGATGTTGCAGGCAGCAGAACGTTCTCCACGGCGTCTCCAGACTGTCACGGGCTCAGTGTGAACCTTCTTTCATCTGTTAAGAGCACAGGGCGCCAGTGGCGAATTTGCCAGTCTTGGTGTTCTCTGGCAAATTCCAAAAGTCCTGCACGGTGTTGGGCTGTAAGCACAACCCCCACCTGTGGACGTCAGGCCCTCATACCACCCTCATGGAGTCTGTTTCTGTCCGTTTGAGCAGACACATGCACATTTGTGGCCTGCTGGAGGTCATTTTGCAGGGCTCCTCCTGTTCCTCCTTGCACAAAGGCAGAGGTAGCTGTCCTGCTGCTGGGTTGTTGCCCTCCTATGACCTCCTTCACGTCTCCGGATGTACTGGCCTGTCTCCTGGTAGCGCCTCCATGCTCTGGACACTACGCTGAGACACAGCAAACCTTCTTGCCACAGCTTGCATTGATGTGCCAGCCGGGATGAGCTGCACTACCTGAGCCACTTGTGTGGGTTGTAGACTCCGTCTCATCATACACCTATAGTGAAAGCACCGCCAACATTCAAAAGTGACCAAAACATCAGCCAGGAAGCATAGGAACTGAGAAGTGGTCTGTGGTCACCACCTGCAGAACAACTCCTTTATTGGGGGTGTCTTGCTAATTGCCTATAATTTCCACCTGTTGTCTATCCCATTTGCACAACAGCATTTGAAATTGTCACTCAATGTTGCTTCCTAAGTGGACAGTTTGATTTCACAGGTGTGTTATTGACTTTGAGTTACCTTGTGTTTAAGTGTTCCCTTTATTTTTTTGAGAGATATATATATATATATATATATATATATACATACACACATATACATACATATATATACACACACATATATACATATATATACACACACACATACACACACATACATACACATACATACTTATTTTAAACATGTTTATTTTTTTAATACTTCCCACCAGCAGGGGTACTGTGACATTTCAGACAGTCCCCCTGCTGGCAGATCCACAGCCGGCTATAGGGGTCCATGTGATCGCTCTTTTAGAGCAATCACATGGCCCCCGGGGGCCTGATTTGCCGGGGGAGGGCTGTCAGGCAGTCCTCGCGAAGTGGATCGTGGCGGAGGCAAGTAAATTTTACCTCCTGGGGCTGAAAGCAGTTATGGCGTTCTATGCCGCTGCAACGGCTTTAAAGCCCATTTAAATGGAGACAGCATAGAACTCCGTAAAGGGACACTATAGTCACCAGAACCACTACAACTTAATGTAGTGGTTCTGGTGTCTATAGCCTGTCCATAATGTGAACACTACCTTTTCCAGTCAAAAAAAAAAAAAAAAAACACATTACAATTTTTAATTTTTTAAATTGAAGTCCACCTAGCCTCCCTATTTATGGGAGTGCTGGAGTGGATCCTTCCCCTGAGGTCCAGTGCATCAGCTGTGATCCTGTAATCTTCCTGCTCTACTTCCACACAATGTTTAATGATACAGGGCCAGCGTAAGGTCATATCGCGGCTCCCGGCATTTCTGTAGGGCACACGAGGGAGCAGAGCAAGAACAGTAGGAAGATTACTGCTCCCTTGCGCGCCATCTCCAGGATTATATGGTGCAGGACTCCTAAAATACACAGTATACAAAACAACTGATCACCACCTGGCTTGCCCACTACACTCTCCAAACCATTATAAAGGCTGAGCGCCCCGTTCCCAGGCCAGAAAATAGCAGGAGAAGACCGGGACAGCCGCCTCCCTTCCAGCGGGATCAGGCACTAACTTCAACTCTAAATCGGCCTGATCCAGTGCGATTGCCCAGCAGACAACGGCCTCTCCTGCTCCCACAACTGAAAATCCAGGAGAGTGCTATTTTAGAGGAGAGATAAGGAATATGAATGCCAACAATCGCTCACCATGAGCCAGTGAGAACCACCCTTTTCCAAGCTGAAAACAGACAATTTTAAGGACCGGCACTTAGCCGCAGCAGCCTGAAACTTTGCGCCAGATCAGGTTGTAGCTCCTGTCTGGTTAAACGTCACTCAATGATTTTTCAGGCCAAGAACATCGAATCCTGGGGGACAATTTGCTTGGGGGAAAAGAGATCTGTCTGGGAATGTATAATGTGCGTTATATTAAAGTTGTGATTTTTGGTGTTTAAGTATTTTGGCAGGGGATTAACTAAAGTCAGTGGTATTTGTTTGAATTAATCCCCAGACTCAGAGGTGCTAGGGTGTAACCTATTGTCCCAGTGTAAAACCCCCTATTATTGTCTCTATAAATATGGCTGTTTGTGGACAATAAACCATTACTGCACCCTACACTTTGCGCAACCTACTGTTTGGGGAGGGTTATCATCACCGCAGAACGACTTTCTCCAGCTCGAAGAGACTACAGACAGAGGTATTCAGCCTGGGTACTGGGCTCTGTCACAAGTTGTATCAAATGTACCTTTTTGAGGTTGCACAGAACAACCAACTTTCATTTTGCTAACAGGCACAGTGAATGCAAACCAATGGAAAGGGAGGTAATCACATTTGCTTCAAATTCATTTTAACATACATTGACTGTTCATGAACTAAATAAATAAAAATTAACCGCCAAGGATGACCTTATTTAATAATAAAAAAAAAAACAAATAAATTTAAATTAAAAAAAACGGAGTCATGTTCAGCCAATATGTTCAAATGCAGATATCTGGAAAAAATAAAATAAAAAAAACAAACAAACAAACAAACAACTTATCTATAACATCCAGTTTCAACACTGCAAATTGAGATAGCTGGATTTGTATTGTAAGCCAACTTCTTCACAAATTTAAAGTTAGGCTAAGCAGCACCTGCCCCACATCTGAAGAGTCTTATTACTTCTCTCAAGATTAAACCATTAGAGGTAGGATAACGCCAATGCAGAGCAAACAAACATTCTTGTATGCTCTATATGATTAAGAGGCCAAAGTAAAGAACAGAATCCACACTACATACTAGTCCATTACATATGGACTAGTTTGTTCTGTTGGGACTGAAGGTTGTACACCAAGTCATACAGAGCATTTATAGAAGTCAAAATTAGAATATAAACAAATGTACTTACAGTCCTAGTCAGTCCCAGTCTTCTCCAAGGAACAACCCCTCTGTGTTCCGATATACAGACCGCCATGAAGCACAACCATTATACATGGTTATTCTCAGTTATTGCTGGAATTGGTATTTCCTGTGTCCATGGAACAACATACAAGCAGACTTCCTCTGATGTTTTCCATTAGACCCATGGCTGGATTAAGAGCATATTGGGCCCGGTGCTATCCATTATGATGGGCCTAATTACAGAATCTTATTAACTGAAAACACTAAAATAGTCATCCCTCCCAAGCAGCATGTATCTGGCAAAGGTGGTGCTGGAGGGAAACACAGGATATAGCTATCCGAAAACACATACGCTATTCTAATCTCTAGCTTTCATCTTTCAAGTAAATCCATATCCCCCAACAGCAGTTTCTGGTGAAACAATGCCGGTGGGGGTCTGGTGACACGAATCACCAGAACCACGCAAAGGGGCAAACATGCCCAAAAAGGGAGAGAGTGCCCAAAGAAGTAGGTGGTCAGTCTGGCATGAATGCATGCCAAGCTGCCTGCCAATCAGGCTGACAAGCCAAGTGCATACTATGCAGAAAGCATCCTGAGCTTGGCATAAATGCCTCTAATGATGCTCTCCACACCACACCTTCTAAGGACTGTTCCCTATTACGCACTGGTCTGCCCCTCTCCTTACCTTCTTACTAACAGGCAGAATATCTTGGTATATAGTCTGGGACAGAGAAAAGGTGTATGCCGTGAGTGTAAAACAAGCATGTCGAGCGCAAAGTCTTGCAAGGGGCAAATAAACAAGGTTTAAGTTTATGTGGGCCAAAAAAAAAAATCCCCTCTACTAAATCCCAGTCCTGTCCCCTCATATACTAAATACCAGCACCCCTCTCTAGCCAACAAGCAGACTCCACTCACATTGCCGCTGCCACTCCGGCCACCGACAGAAAAACACACACACACACACACACACACACACTAGAAGATCTCCACTGGAACCCAGGGATAAATACAATCTGGAGATCTACCTGCTGCGCACTGCTCCCTCACGCACGCAGTTTAGTGATGCCGAAATATGACATCATATTCCGGCACCCAGCATCACTACCAACGGTGCACGCGAGTAAGCAGTGAGCTCCTTCAGCGACCTCTCCTCCTGGCCAGGTAAATTTTAGCAGATTAGGCACCCGCAATGTGAAGAAAGCAGGTACCTACTCTGCTTTTAACACCAAGCATGTACTTGTGGCTTGCCGGGCTGCAAAGATGTCCATTGTGGGCTGCATGCGGCCCGCGCGTATGACATGCTTGGTGTAGAAGAAAGGGAACAGGACCGTGTTAGAGAGAGTGAAGCAGCAAGAGCATTTGCATAGTGCATAAAGTCAGCTTTACCTTAACCAGTTTCATGGTCAGCCAGTCCACACCAGTTGTGTTTCCCTACATCCCTCTTAAGTTGCCATCCTTAAGCAAGAGCATGTAAAGAGGAGCATTTTTAAATTCAATGGGCATGGGCCTGAAGCTGCCGCTCCATCAGCCCCTATGTTAATCCGGCCCTAATTAGCCCTGGTATTTGACTCCTCTTGTCTTAATATACAGGCATACTTCCCATGATGTATAGCAGTTAGCTGCACGCTTATTCAGCTCCAATACTGGACACATACAACTTACCTAGATGCTCAACAATAACCTCCTAAATGTTACCAAATTTGTTACAAGAAAGCCTCAATGAAAGTATTAGGGACTGCAGAATTTCTGTAGCCCCCATACTTATGCTAATGGCTAAACTACTAATGAGGGAAACCCAAATCATCCTGGATTGAGGTATGTAAATATAGGGATTTTACAAACATTCTAATGTGCTTAAACTAGAAGCCCCCTTATGCACCATTGTCATTTCCTCCATAAGAGTTTTTTGGTCAGACCCCTGGTCACAAAAAAGGGGTACACCCAGGTAGTCACCTTGTATATGTGCCTGACTATTGAGGGTCGTTCAGAAGCGGTCAGTATGGCTGCAAAGTCGCTCACAATTAGCTTCATCCTGCAGAATACCCCAGTGAAAACCGCAGCTCTCGTGTCCCAACGACACCCAACGCTACTCCCATTTACCCAAAGAAGCAACTGATAAAGGAGCCATCTGTGGTTCATTTATTTTCCCCAACAGCAGCACCTGGTCTCATAAGATGGTGATGCCATGGCCAGCCTTATGTTTGCTAGCTAGGATGTGAGCAGTCTCCCTGGAAACCCAGATCTTAAACCTGATGAGTGAGTTGAAAGCTTATTTGGCAAAGGAAATGGATAGGAGTATAAGGAAGGTTAAGGCTGAAATTAAGGCACTGGGCCAGAGAACAGTGGTGGTGGAGGAAAGAGTAGAGGTCTGCAACAGAAATATAGATCAGACCAATGTTTTTAAAACAAGGCTGCTAGAAGCAGAATCAGCTCAGGGAGATCCAACTGCACACAAAGAAATGATTTTTAGAATCCAGGGCCTGCCTCAACAGGCTAAAGAAGGCTCTCGTAACCACTTTGCTGCAAATTCTCAAACCTAAAAAAAAAAAAAAAATAATCACCAGAAACTCCAGAACACATTTGGCTAATAGAGCACATGGGGACCTCACAGCCATAATATCAGAGGGTGAACAGCCTACAGATTGTTTTAGTGGATAAGTAGTGAAACTTAAAAATGTCATCAAAATTTACAGATCCAAATTTAATTGTTTACAAAGATGTCCTGTTGCAAATCTTTCAAGACCTGGGTCCCACTACACTATAGAGGAGGCGGTAGTGGAAACCAGTTGCAGACATCCTCCGATAACATGGACTAAAACTCATGTGAGGAATTCCTTTCAAAAAGGCAAAATGGTCATGTTTCGACCAAAAGGCAGATGTGGTTTTCCACATACTTACCTGCAAGCTCTAATGTGCCTCAGGAAGACTTACCAAAGCTACCATCCCTACCCACAGAATAGAGATAATTTGGGTCTTGAACAGTCTTCCCTATTACCAATAAGTTGATGGGGGGGGGTGGGGAGGACTGTATGAGCATTGTTGCAAATCACCTCACCAGTTCTTGCTTCTGCTCTACTGTGGGACTTAACTCTTATACATCTTTGTATGTGTGATTTTTATTCTTGGTAGTCTTCTCCCCCCCCCCCCCCTTCATGATTTTCTCCTCTAGTGGCCTCCCTAGCCACTAGTCTATTTACTCACCTTAATAACCTCACCTGGATTAACTAATTAGGATGCTTGATAAGACTACTCCTGGCACACAACAGTGCCTTGACATTGAAGTCTATGCTCTGATAAAGAATCTCTGTTCCTGGTAATATCCTGTATTTTTATCTACATGATTTCATTCTGTAGAGAACTTACCTGCAGTGCCTCATCCTGTACTCATCTGCTTTTCCTCATACTGAAAGGCACTAACCTGCATTCCTTCATCCTGAACTTGCCTGAATTACATCTTACCAAAAGACTTTCCTTATCAGCTTCCAAGAATCCTGATTTGTGGCGTATTGCCTTCATTGAAGAATCTTAACTCTTCAATTGCTGCATCACTGCATGATCTCGTAAGCAACCTGCATTATATTATTTTGGACTATACCTACCTGTTTCAACCTCTGCAACTCTGCATGATCCTGTATGGTTTTATCCAAAATATTCTGAAAATCCTTAACTACTTGGTATAACTTCAAGCCTGCTTGTATACAAAAGACTTTATTCATTTACCTTCTAAAGATCTTGTTTGTGGCATATCGCCTAAAACCTGTTTTTTCTCACAAAGTATCCGGTTTGTGGCAGACTGCCCTTTATTCTTTATTTTCAGTAAATTTGTTATGTCTTATACGACAAATAACGTTTTAACCAATAACCCTTGCAATCGTCTCCTCTCTGACCTGCTCAGGAGCACGACAACAGGGTTGATGCGTCACCTCCTAGACTATGGCTTGCTTTTCCAGATCCACCGGGGTCCATAACTTAATGACAGAGCTAAGAAGCCAGAGTTTTGTGTGAGGGTTCTCTTTTTTCCCTGTTCTACAAGCTCACTGTATTTTCATAATCTGATCACCTTAGGTAGTTAGAGATGGTATTTATTTTCTCCTCATTTCAATATGGCGTGCACACATGCACTGTATCTTCACTGGTTGATAGTTTATGCTTTCTACCATTGCCAACTGACTCCTGTTGACGCAGGAGGTCGCGATACACCTTGCCTCAACTGTCCAATGTTGTTTCTTGGCTGAATGCTGAGGAGATTGCTCCCAGACTTATACCTGAAGAAAGGCAAGACTAGGTTTAGATTTTGAAATTTGTTTTGTCATCAGAATCCAATTGACAAAGTGGCTATACACTTTTTAGTTTTGGGTTACTTTTTCCCCTTCGAGGTGTGGTGGTTCAGTGGGAGCCAGACGAGTCAGTCCCACAACTGTTGGTGAGGGAGATAATGTATTCTGATTGGACACAGAAGGTAGCCATTGCAGATGGTCTAATTAACCTGTCCCTTAATTTAAACGAGTTAAATACAACAAATAAGAGAATATCATTGTTTACAAAGCGGTTGAATGCCAATATTGCTGTAATACAGGAACCACAGGATCCATAAGCCAAACCGTAGACCATTTCGGAATATGTTTGCACCTCTGTTTTTACCTCTGGCTCACACCGAAAACAAAATGGTGTGGCCGTTTCAATCCATGGAAAAAAAGTGTCCCATCCTGGTTTCCAGAACAGATTAAGAAAGATGATACGTTCCAATTCTAAAAAGGTGTACTGGGCAATAGTACAGCTCACATTTTGACATGGCAATATATGCACCCAATAATCACCTCTTGCAATTTTAGGATTCCCCCCCACTGCTGATGGGGGAAAAGACTTTAATGCTAACCCCAGCTAAAATTGTTACAAGGTTACTTAAAATCTTAGCAAACAAATGTGGCTACTACATATGGCCATGTGGTGGTGGTGAGCCTACCACTACGTCACAGTACTCCAATATTGGTGGGTCCTAGACTAATTTAACATGGGAGGAAAACATGCCAACTACAATATTTACTACTTACAGTGCAAAACAAATAGAATTTAAACAGAAGTGCATTCAATTAATCCCATAAAAGTGCATTGTATATACACTAGTAAAGATTTATTTAAAGGGACACTAGTCACCCAGACCACTTCAGCTCAATGAAGTGGTCTTTGTGCCAGGTCCCCCAGGTTTTAACCCTTCAGATGTAAACATAGCAGTTTCAGAGAAACTGGTATGTTTACATTGCAGGGTTAATCCAGCCTCTAGTGGTTTCCTTCCAGACAGCCGCTAGAAGCGCTTCTGCGATGCGAAAATCGCATTCAGCGTGCAGGACGTCCATAGGAAAGGATTGAGAAATGCTTTCCTATGGACTTTTTGAATGCATGTGTGGTTCTTGCCGCGCATTCTGCTCCACTTGGGAGCAGACGTCGGAGGGGGAGGAGAGGTCACCAGTGCTGAGGGAGCCCGGCACTGGATTAAATTAACTAACTGAAGGGGTTTTAACCTGTTCAGCGCCAAGGGAGGGGAGGACCCTAAGGGTTGTATAGTGTCAAGAAAACAAGTTTTCCTGACACCATAGTGATCCTTTAAACAAAGCTTAAAAAAGGGACAAGTCAACAGAACCACTACAGCTTAATTTAGTGGTTCTGGTGTCTAGTCGGTTTCTGCAGGGTTTTTTTTTTTTTATAAAGGAAACACTGCCATACACAGTTGCCTAGTAACACCTCTAGTGACAAACGGCTTTCTAGCCCAGAGTGCCCAGCACCTACGTTCAGCGTCTCCACGCGCTGCATGGTGGCACTGAATGTTCCCCATACAAATGCATTGATTCAATGCATCTCTCTATCAGGACATGCGGATTGGCGCATTGCTGCGTTTTACCACCCATGTGCAATAGCCTTCCTATGGTAAAAGCCTAGAATTGGCTGAGATCATCAAGAATGATCCCAGCCATGTGGACAGACTGGGTGATGTGGGGAAATCTCTCTTCCTCTCCTCTCCCTCCCCTTCACATGGTTTCAAGAATACAGGTTTATATCCCCAACACAAAAGCATTCTTTTAAATTGACACATAAATATTAGAACCAAAACGTCATGGACATTTAACTACAGTTAATGCATAAACATCTGGTGTGTCACATCAGAATATATTAAATTATTTTTCCCCACCTGGCTTCTTGTGGCCATGAAGATGTCTTATTTTTAGAGTTATAAAGTACCAATACACTCTCACACACAAATTATTTGTTGTATTTCAATTCAGGACCGCCCAACTACCTTCGGGAGAGCTAGTGTGAATACTTTCCCTGGGGTCCAGTAGAGCAGCTACAATCCTGTAGTCTTACGTTACATAGCGCAAAAGAGACTTGCGTCCATCAAGTTCAGCCTTCCTCACATTCGTTTTTGCTGTGGATACAAAAGAAGGCAAAAAACCCTCTCTGAAGCGCTTCTAATTTTGCAACAAACTAGGAAAAAAATTCCTTCTTGACTCAAAAATGGCAGTCAGATATCTCCTTGGATCAAGCAGCCATTATCCCACTAATTAGAAATTATATCCCTGTATGTTGGTTTTTGCAAGTATTTATCCAATTGCTCTTTAAACATCTGTATGCACTCTGAAAACTACCTCTTCAAGCAGAGAATTCCATATCCTTATTGCTCTTACTGAAAAAAAATAAAAAAATAAAACACTTTTCTTTGCCTTAGATGAAATCTCCTTTCTTCCAGCCTAAATGTGTCCTATGTATAGCCCTGTTTATGAATAGATTTCCAGATAATGGTTTGTACTGGCCCCGAATATATTTGTATAATGTTATATTCCCTCTGAGGCGCCGTTTTTCCAAACTAAAATGTTAAAAAAATTTTTTTAACTTTCTTCGTAACTAAAAAGTTCTATTACTTTTATCAATTTTGTAGCTAGTCTTTGCACTGTTTCTAGTACCATGATATCCTTCTTTAGAACAGGTGCCCAAAGTTGCACAGCATAATCAAGGAGTGGTCTTACCAGCCATGTATAAAGAGACAAAATTATATTTTCATCACAAGAATTTATGCCCCCTTATACATCGAACTCTTCTTCCACTGCTTCCTCCGTTCCGCAAAGCCACCCATCTCAGGGGGACCAGCTGTAGGGTTCCCCATGACAGGCAGAACACAGAGGGCCGGTTGCACTCACAACCACTGTAGTTGCGCAACTGCAGGCACTGGTGCAGTGTTGAACAGGCTGACAAACACACAGGCGCCAGCACAAAATTCCTAGTCGGTACGGCGACCTAGGATTTGTTGAGCACGGATATACACTATATGAACAAAATAATTGAAGAGTGGAAGCATTTAGGAACAGCAGCAGCTCATCCACTAAGCGGATGAACAGGTCAAGTCCCAGAGCAGTGTCACAGAGTGCGGAGTCGCATATATAAAAAAAAAAAAAATAAAAAAAATAAAAAAAAAAGGCAGCGAATGATGTAAAGAGTGCTGCCACTGGACATGTGTTCTGTGGAGTGGTTAATCACGCTTTTCGGTTTGGCATTCTGATTGGAAAATCTGGGTTTGGCGGATGTAAGGAGAACGTTTCCTTCCTAACTGCATTGTGCAAACTTTGGTCAAGGAATAATGGTATGGGGCTGTTTTTCACGGGTTGGGCTACGCCCCTTACTGCCAATGACGGAAAATATTAATGCATCATCTTACAAAGACATTTTAGACGATGCTATGCTTCCAATTTTGTGGGAACAGTTTGGGGAAAGGCCCTCTTCCATTCCAGCATAACTGTGTGCACAGTGCAAGGTAAATGAAGACATGGTTGGAGAAGTTTGGTGTGGAAGAACTTTACTTGCCCGCACCTCAAACTTATCGAACAGCTTTGGGATGAACTGGAACAGAGATTGCGAGCCAAGCCTTCTCGTCCAAATGTCATTGCCTGATCTCACTGCCCAACTGGATGAATGGGCAATAATTCACATGGAATCACTCCAAAATCTTGTGGAAAGTCTTCCCAGAAGACGTTAAAACTGCACAAGGGGGTACCAAATACATATTAATGTCTATGTATTTAGAATGCAATGTCATAAAGGTCCCTGTTTGTGTAACAGTCAGGTGTCCCAATACTTTTGTCCATATAGTGTATATCATATTCTAGGTATATGTAAGCAAAAACTTAAATGCAATAACGGTTAAAGTGATAATGCTTTGATTGATACGGTAGATATACACACACTTTCTTGAGTTTACATTTTGACAGATTTCATAGGAGGAGCAAAACATTTATTAAAAATAAAAAAAATTAAGTGACAAAAGGGGAAGTTAAACAACTATTTTTAAAAGGGTGAAATGGTAAAAGCATCACCTTAATTTGCACATGCTCAGAAACTTTTTTTTTTTTTTTTTTAAAAGGACACAGTATACAGTAAACTAACCCAATTTTGAACAAAGAAGGAATTTAAATTACTTCTCTGTTGTAAGACTGCTGCCATATAAGGGACTTAAATGTACACTATTGTGTCAAGAATGCAAAACGTGTATTCCTGACACCAATTTTAATAAACACTATTTAAGACCCCGGCCCTCCCTTTAAAAGAGGCGATTACTGCCCTTTATTCTAGTGCAGAGCAGTCTCTTGGCATAGCTGCCCTAACATTTTATTTTTATACCAAAAACATGTTTTAACAAAGGGGTTAAGTAAGCAGAATATTAAAAACCTTGGAAGGGACAGTTCCTCTTTAAGAGGTGCACTGTAATCAACAACCACCACCACTTTCCATAGTAGTTATGTTGCCCTTAAATCTTCTGGAGCTATCCTTCGGTTTAACAAACCATTTTGGAACAGTTTGATAAAGATCAAGGGTCTTTCTGATGCCATTGGACCATCTCCACCCCTTTCCTTTATAAATTAACTTTAGACAAATTTTCTACATGGCCAGGCAAAATTAACTTTGAAAAGCAAGCTACTTTTTAATTGTATGTTCAATAGCAGTAAAAAGAAAGAAAAAATAAATATTTTCTGTGTTAATTTTTGGATGGGAATTACTTGACGGAGAAAAAAATAAAAAATAAAAAAGGAATGAATATATCTCAAACAGATTTCCAAAAATTGGGTCTGTAATGTTATTAAATAAGAGTTACTAAACCTCATGACTGGTTACTCACAGTTTAAGTACTGGTCATCTATAAGAAACTCTTGGACCAGAAGGAAAGCATGACAATTGAATGTGTTCCATAGATGATAAATAAATATAGCATGCGTTTTATGCTCTTGACAAATATAAATAATTTTATTAGGCAACAGGTCTATGTGAAATGTCTGCCTGACTACCAAAAGGCTTCTGTTGCATAAGAATGATCACTCCAGAACACACATCCCGTATCAATTCCTCGTTGCTTATAGTCCACCTGATGGGTGGAATCTTCTGTGCTTTAGAAATGTATTCCCAAGAAAATATATTTGAATCTAACTTTCCTTACTAGCCTCTCATAACCTTCAAACAGGTTTTGCCGATTATAGTAGCGATTTTAAATTTCTAAATGGAAAGTTAAAGGGGCACTCCATGCTGGTATTTTTTTTTATTTGTATACATCTTTTTAATGTATTAAGCAGTATTAGTTTCCTCCTTGACAAGGAAGAGGCTCCTCCAAATCAGGAACCTCTAATTCTGATCTATATTGTGTGAATTTACATTTATGGGTTATGGAGTTAAATCCAAAGACTCAAAACTCAGATTTCATGAGTAGAACAGCTGTTTAAGCAGGCAGCCATGTTCAGGTTTGTTTAAAGAGAGGTGCACCATGTTTTCATACACTGCAAATAACACTTATGTCTAGAAGTAGATTAAGCATTCTGGGAGAGCCAGAGACCGGAGGTATGGCACAAGTTAGATGGCAAACTATGCAATTTAAATTCCTCCCTTGCCTTCACAGGGAGGGAGAAAGTGTCTGACATAGCCAATTAGGTTTGCAAATTGCTGTAGTTATTAGCAAAAGGCAGGGGAAAAAAAAAAAAATGACACTAATGGTAGTCACCATCACTGGGAATGGAAGACAGACACTATGTGTGGGTCCCCAGATTCCTCTTGTGTTTTGGCACCCTGTGCATAGTATTGGCTCAGGATATGTTGAATGTATTAATTGTCTGTGCCATTCCCCCTCCACTTTTTTCCTGTCCTATTGTTTCACCAGCAGGGTGTTGTTCCAGGGACACTGCTAAAGCAGTTTAAACTAGCTGCCTTGTCCCTCCTCAATCTCCCATCAGCCCCCTGCTATTGTCTGGCCCCACCCTCCCTCTATGCACCCTATTGTATGTAAATGAGGCTGTTGGGGGCATAGATGTGTGTGCTACGTCTATCAAAGTTAGTTGCGGTTTTAACCTTCACCAAGTGTTTGGAGAAAGGGATATAATCTGCTGATGAAAATGGTGTCCAGGGATGTAATCACAGTAGCCTGGTCCAGGGTGGAAAAGGCCCTCAGTGATCACAGTCCAGCCTCGGCAACTGGGTCTGAAGTGCTCCAGGGTCCCTGATAGCTACAAGGAAGCAGATTTGGTTTTACTCGGAGTACTGAAGCTCAGAGACACCATATCAAACAAAAATGGATTGAAAGTTTTTAGAGTGTGCCTATTTGAGACCGTGAAAAGGTACATTTAAACCATTGTTGCATTATCAATGTGGCGGAGATGAGGGTGGTCCCCAAGCAGCAAGCGTGGCCCTGTTTAACAAACAATTCCTAGATGGCTTAATCGTATGCAGAGAGAGATGGCAACACAAACACTAGAGTGCATTGCACCAAGAAAGCCCTGGCCTTGTCCTAGGTTTAGTAACATTTGACAAAAAACAGGGATCTGTCTGGGTGCTAGGGACCATGGATGAATAGTGTGCCTCTTACTAAGACCGAGACTTCTTAAAATAGTAATAAAACTATTTCAGTTCCAATTCAACTCTTAAGAACGATTGCATCTTAGATGGATCTGATCCTCCCCCCCTTTTTTTTTTTTTTAAATGCATCACAAAAATAAGAAATGCGTGCAGTTTCCCCAGTCATGCCTTTTAAGTAGAATTGTTTATGGTGCGCCCCATGGCCCACAGTGTATGATATGGATGTGGTGCGTTCCAGCGTCTCTCTGGGGTGTCCCTAGCTTTAACTGGGCCTGCACCCATGTTGGCTCCGATCTGCGGCCACCTGGCTGTCACCCATAGTTATAGTGCACTGTGAGTCTCTGACTTTTATATAGCCGTGGTGGCTACGCGTTGTCGCGACCTGTGTCCATAGGGCTTAGGGCTAGTGGTGATAGATATGACTTAAAGCTTGATGCTAGTCAGGAGTATGTTGCTCCAGTGCTTTTAGTACTGTCATCGGAACAGTTAGAGGTAACCTCAATGGACCCTTTTCTCATCTCAAGAACTGTTGCTAGGAAGCTGCAACATAAGTTATAACTAAAAGAAGATTATAGAAACGTCATAACATAAGAGACAAACTAAAATATAAAAGGCTGTAGACAGAGAAAATTAGTTCAGGTCTCTGGGGTCGACCAACTGTAGGCAATGCCTGCTACTTGGAGTGGCTTAGTGAGTGGTTGCATACTTTTGCGCCAGAGCAGTGTGGCCCTACTTAAGTCCTGAGAGATGGAGAGTCATCATTCTTCAAACGCAAAAGGAGTCTTCCCTTGTAGTCCTGCCATTAGCCCCAGTTTGTCTGAATGATTGGCACCGCAGTATGATGTCTCACAGAGCTTTGTTAGGTTTTTTGGCTATTCTGTACACTCCGAACAGGAATGTTTTGGCTTGTCTGGTTTGTAGAAGTGTGGCCACTAGGCGCCTGATGAAGTGTGACAATTTTTCTAGCGGCACTGATTCCTGTAGCTCTTTGATCTTTATGTTTTTGCATCGCCCCCGTTGTCCAGGAGGTTGACTTGTCTGGACATGATTACTTGTGTGGAGTGTAGGTGTTGTACCTTCTCCCCCAGTTATTGAAGGCCATTTCAGTCCCTCAACTTCATCCTCTGTCGCCTGACTTCATACGGTCACTGCTTGCACGTTGACTTTTAATAATGCCAGATCTGCTTCCCATATCGGTCTGAGATTCGGTTGCAGGCCTGTATCTCTCTTTTCAAGGCTGGGGTGCAGTCTTCTGTTAACCATGCAAGTGAGGGTCGGGCTGTCCTGTGGTTCTCCTTCCTCTAAGGGCAGTGGGGTAGCATTGCGGGGAGTTTGGGTCTGCACTGTGCCTGCAGCATTTGGCCTATGTCACGCTGCGGCTCCGAGGTTTGTAGGGGCGATTTTTCAGACCTGCGCCACCCTCTTACCTGAACTTTGTAGGTAGGGGTGCCAAAATTCCAGGTCTGGTGTATTCCAGGGCCAGAATCCTCATGCTGCAGCCCGTTGCTGCCCACCCAGTAGACCATGCCACCAAAGCATTGATTTTTGGAGCCAGGCGTTAGAAAAAAAAATAAATAAAGTTAAAAATCGGCGGCAACAGCAGGGTATGTGGCCAGAATTGGTGGGAGATGCCCTTGATTTTGTCGGATTACGGTGGGCTATGCAGGAACTCTAGGAAAGTGCGTCTGCTCTGGTGTGGTCAGGCTCCACTCCTGGCTCATCTACAATTTCATGCAATTTATCCACTTGGTGTACACCATGCTACATTGCCAACAATCTGAAGCCAATCACATGCATCAAAATATGTCAGCATTAACTGGGAACCAAAACATCTTACACTCTTATCAGTGTTGCTCTGTTTGTGTTGCCATGGTGAAATAAGTTTCCCACATTACCCATGCTTTGAAACATAGACCTAGCTTATAACTACCATTACAGACTACAATTCACTTTGTGATTCAACACCCCTGCTCTGAAGATAAAAATGGCTTTGACCCTCACTATATCTGAGGTCCAGGATCTGGCAAGGCAAATGCATCAGATTTCCTAATCCAGTCATCTTCTTGTCCTTTTATCCTTTCATTTATCGGAGCCCTCATGGTACCCCATAGTAAGCTTTGGGAGCTTTTCTTCTATTTCAAATCTTCTTCAGTGATTTGCGAGTTTGCAAACTCCTGCATCAGGGTGATAGCTCTACAAAACGCACAACCCTCAGTCTTTAATACATTACAAAGAGAAACAATCAAAGGACATGAAATGAGTATGTAGTTAAACATCGCTAAAGGGTACACTTCGGTATGGTATATTCTCACATCACATAGGTATGGAATTGTGTAAAGTAAAATTACAATTAATTAAGGGCCATCTCTATCATTAAAGAATTGGGGAGGTTTTGAATGGTTTCACATTAAAGAAAAAAATAAAATAACTAAATAATGCTCACATATAGAAAGATGTGTGTATACCAGCTACAAAAGGCAAATAAGATGTGTTATCTAAAATTGGTATGTATTACCTTTCCTGATCTCTAAATGATATTGTAAACACCAAGACAAAAAATGCACATCATGCACACCTACACATAAAAGAATCTGTATAAATGTATATTAAGAATATGTTAATAGAATAGTTCAAAAACAATTAATTGAGAGAGAGAGAAAAAAAAAAAGTGTTAGTACAGAAGCTAGGAGGACAAAGAAAAAAAAGTCGAAAAAAAAAAAGAAAAAAAAAAAGAAACTGGCTGGTAATCACCCACCTTCTCTCAAAAACCTGCTAGGAATCCTGAGGCTGGGACAGGAATGGGTGAAGAGTCGCCTAACGGGAAACCATCGTACTTTCTTCTTAGAGCCTGTTACCACAATTACCAGCAATGAGTCAGACATACACAGCACAAGGAATCAGACAGCAACAAATTAAAGAGCTGGGCCAGGAGACATCTTCAACATTGCCTTTTAATTTACAAACAGTGCATTGCCACAGCGAGATATTAAGTAGGCAATATAAAAAGAAAAAATAAGCACACAGAATAACCTGTGTGCTTAGCAACCCTACTTTATTTCACTATACTTTTTGCACCCTGGCACATTGTTGGCATTTTATTAGTTTTTACCCTATGTGCCATGGTTATAATATAAAAAAAAAAAATAAAAAAAAAAAAATAAAAAAATTATATACAAAATATTTGTCATTGAGTTAGCAGTCAATGGATAAAAGGACATATGCAGTATTCTGAATGCTACATCTGCGGCAAGAGTGAAACTGTATTGAAGGAAGACATTAAATTCATAAAGCTCTGCTTATCAAAAGTAGATCTTGGAACAGTTTCCCCGGGAATATTTATAGGAATTTAATTTAAATCCAGTATTCATTAAGAATTCAGAATAGGAAACGCAAGCTTCACAAGCACCCCACCCCCTGCCTTAATGCAATAAAGCCAGACACTCAGTTGAGTGAACATAGAAATCTTATGGAGAGCTGTAAAATAGTGAATGAGTAAGTAAGTGGCTGTGAAGCATTTGTGTTTGAGGAAAGCAGTTCATGTTCTTTACATCTTCTGGGAATTGGGAGTAGAGTGATGCATTGGTACAAAGTTTGTTAGTTTTTTCCCTTTTGCAGAAACTTACAATGCAAGCATATAGGAAGTTTTAGCATTACGCTCCCACATATATATTTGACTCTACTGCAAATATAGAAATGTACATTTAAAGATCAGTCTAGGCCCAGTTAAGTCTACAGGCTGCTGTAATAGATATGAAGCCAGTACACTCCGCAAGCTTTCCCACACCAGGTAATCACAAGGGTCCCATGGCTTCCATTGGCCCTGCCTCTTTCTGATGTATCTAAATGGAACCCTCTTAAAAGCAGCTGATGTTCTTAGCTAATTAATTACATCCAAACCCAGGTAGAATTGAGGTCACTAAAGTAGAAATAGGGACCTACACTTTAGAGATATCAGAGAAGGGTAATAAATCCAGGGGTGTGTCAAAAGAGACTCAGATAAATATTGAACAATACTAAAAAAATGGTTTGACTACTTATCCTGCGATGTCACCAAGGGATTCCTTGCAGCAAAACCAGAACTGCAAGCTGTAGTTGTTATGGTGCCCAGCCTACCTTTTAAGGGCACTTCTTTTCTACTGGTATCTATCTTTGTGCTACTGAAAGGTTTGCACAGCGACTGGAATGTTTTGCCGCTGCATGCATGCTCTCTGGGCCAGCGAAATGAGGGAGGGAGGGTTTTTATATGCACAGAATTGACACTGGGTAAACTGGAACGGAGTTAATGTCAAGTGTGCCGTTTGTTGAACTAGCCCCCAAGCACACAATTAATAATTCAGTAAGTTCAATATGTGCAGAAGTTCAGGCTGAAAAATCACTGGTATAACCCCTTTTTTGTGCTTGGCAGAGAGTCATCGCAAAAATAAATAAAAAAACCTATATGCAAATAAAATGTTTTAAAGCTCATTGAAGTGGTTACGGGGCAGGATTGTCTGGACACCATCTTACCATAAGAAATTGAAACATTCTTTCCAACATTGTAGTCAGGAAGTTGGATCTCACCCTGTGCCTGGGGGAATGCAAGTTTTATAATATGACAGCGTCATGACAATTTCAGACTGTTACTGGCAGCCCAATGAAAAAAAAAAAACAAACAAATAAAAAAAAACAATAAATGGAAGGTAAGCTAAAGGCTGAGAGCATCAGCTCAAGCCATGCCTCGCCCATCCGGCAAATTGGAAATGGTTTACGATGGTACCTGGACACTACTCCACTAACTTCAGGGAGCAGAAATTGAAGACTGGTAAAAACACATCAATTGATATGCCCTACTCTCAATTTTTTTTTAAAGCAGATATAGTCTAGACCAGAGGTTCCCAAACTGTGTGCCGCAGCGCCCACAGGGAAGCCGCAAGTTATTTTCCCAGTGCTATAATGATCGCACCGGGAACCGTGCCTGCCTCTCCCCTGCCAACTCTGCATGACTGAAGGGGAGATCAGAGTCCGCTAGCACTTTGCTGATGGCAGGGAGGGAAAGAGCTCTGTCACTTTCTCCTCTCGCGTGCTCGAAGCGTTGCCGCATTTTCCACGGCAATGTTCCGAATCTCGTGAGAGTGAACACTAGCAGCTCCTGAGGTCACCACCAGGGCTTCCCCAGGAGGACCAGCAGGGATTGCAGGAAATGTCCCCCCACCCAGGTAAAAGGTAAGCAGGGGCATCATTTTTATTTTTAATTAATTAAAAAAAAAAAAAAATATATATAAAAAAAACTTGCGCGGCAGCAATGACCTATCTAGGGGGTCTGCCTTGACGTTGGCAGGCGGGCATTCCCTCCAGTGGCCATTGGAGTAACTGAATGACCTCCATTTGTTTAAATATACATAGGGAATAAGGAGAGAGCGCAGGTAACTTTTCTCTTTGGTTTTTACTATATGTATTGGCTGATGTGTACTGTAGTCATTGCTGCCACCCAGGAGTGATGGGAGTGAGCGCAGGACTTTTCTTTTTTGTAGCTGGACATATATACACAACCTAGAAAATGGTTTTGACTTTGGGTGCCTTGGAAAAAAAATATTGCAATAGCAAGGGCACTTTGAACCTAAAAAGTCTGGGAACTACTGGTCTAGACTCGAGACAAATGAGGCATGCAGTTTTAGAACATTAAATCTAGAAGCAAGCTAATATAATACATTGTAAGTTCAATGTGAACAGTATTTAGAGTGGTAGAGGATAATTGACCAACTATTAGATGGCAGTCAAAAGGGCATGTCTCTTCACAATAATTTAGAGGTCTTAATGCACATAGGGTAATCATGGGCATGGTGAAAATGTCTTTCAAATGACCTTTCAATGCATATATACACAGTGTTTATGCAACTCCATTAAAAGAACCAATGTATCCAGATAATAAGAATAAGATATAAATTAACAGTGCCAAAGTGATACCATTCACTTGGTATATACATTTAGCAAAATGATAAATGTACACTAGGTTAGAACACAAAAAACGGGCAAACGAGCAGACAGACAAACAAGAACAGCATCTTTTATCTACTTGGAAAAGGCACTGTGATTGCACATTATACTTCATTAATAGTTACATCCCCAATACAGATCTTGCCAAGACAGGAATTTTATAAACACACATGTAGTCATCACACAAAGACAGGCCACATCACACACGGTTATGGATGGTATCACAGAAGATAGATGTAACTCTGCAGCAAGACACTCATGGTATCCAGAGTTCAATAAAGCAAACATATATTTAGCAATCGCACAAACTATTTAGGGAAAGTATTTCAGTGGTTTCCCACTGTAGCATTGTAGTGACTGGTTTTAAAGTTGTTACTAAAATTACTGTATTTTTGGCATTTTCCCATTATTAAAGGGACACTATAGTCACCTGAACAACTTTAGCTTAATGAAGCAGTTTTGGTGTATAGTACATGCCCCTGCAGCCTAACTGCTCAATCCTCTGCCATTTAGGAGTTAAATCCCTTTATTTCTGAACCCTAGTCACACCTCCCTGCATGTGACTTGCACAGCCTTCCATAAACACTTCCTGTAAAGAGAGCCCTATTTAGACTTTCTTTATTGCAAGTTCTGTTTAATTAAGATTTTCTTATCCCCTGCTATGTTAATAGCTTGCTAGACCCTGCAAGAGCCTCCTGTATGTGATTAAAGTTCAATTTAGAGATTGAGAAACAATTATTTAGGGTAAATCTGTTTGAAAGTGAAACCAGTTTTTTTCCCCCCATGCAGGCTCTGTCAATCATAGCCAGGGGAGGTGTGGTTAGGGCTGCATAAACAGAAACAAAGGGATTTAACTCCTAAATGACAGTGAATTGAGCAGTGAAATTGCAGGGGAATAATCTATACACTAAAACTGCTTTATTTAGCTAAAGTAATTTAGGTGACTATAGTGTACCTTTAACACAACCGACCATAGAGTATATCAGACAGACATTCTAGTAAGTCGCTAGAAAGGAAGGAAGGAAAAAAATAAATAAAAACCCAACAACCACCTGTTGTGCTGTGGCTAAAGGAGAGCTTGATTTGGGAGAGGATGGCTCATGACTGCATAACTCCATATCAGTGTAACAATATCGGAGTAATTGCAGGCAAAGAGGATGAGAGGTAAGGGGAGAGTTAACAGGGTTTAGAAAAGCCTGCTGTGCTACGTGCTCTAGTAGGGCATGAAATTGTGTGCATTGAGTCATAATTTCAAACTCTCATTAATGTTCCTATCTCTGATTCCTTGTAATTTTATTATACCCTTTTCCCCACAAGTACTTTAGGGACAGCCAAGAACAAACCTTGCCAAGAATAAAAATGTGTGAAAGGGCCACCATGATAAGCAATAGTGGTTATGGTACTTCAAGTGTACATTTGAAATAGAACCAATTTGTTTCTATATACGTATGGAGAAAAATGCTTTTAACGGTTGTTTGCCGAACTAGAGAGTGCACACTTGCAGCACTAGTAATTGAAACACAGTATTCATAAAACTGTTCCCAATTGTATAATCTCGTCAACACAAAATTGACAATTTCAGTGATTCTTCGCTTAGGTTATGACAGAAAATGTTAACAAGGAACAGTCAATTCAGATATTGTAACAACCAAATGGCTAATTATTATATTACAAAAACACCATGACTACTACAGCAGACTGTAGTTTTTCATAGAGCTTTGAGCATCCCTTTCTTACGATGTCTGTTACAACCAAAGTGGAAACCCAGTAATAAATTCCTAAGAAGGTTAAATAACTAGTATGAGAACTCTGATGTTTATTTTAATGGTGTTGGCAGCTCTTTGTTGACCTGTATATTAAAATTACTGAGCATACTGCCTCTGTTCAAGTTTTATGGAATGTTGCAGCTCTACATTTAATTGTAAATCGGTTTCCATGCTACAATTTAAGTTTGTGTTATGAAAAGCACTGAGAAGGTTATTGCAGTAGTCAAGGCGAGAGAGAACAACAGCATGGACCAGCACCTTAGCTGCATCTGGGGTTAAATAGGGGTGGATGCGCACTATGTTTTTGAGATGGAAGCGACCGGATTTGGCGATTTGTTGGACATGAGGGGTGAAGGAGAGGTTGGAGTCAAAAAGAACACCCAGGCAGCGAGCCTGCAAGGTAGAGGTGATGGTAGCACCATTGACTTGGAGGGAGACAGACACGGGAGTAGTAACACTTGAGACGAAAGACCAGAAATTCTGTTTTGGACAGGTTGAGTTTAAGGAAGTGAGCAGCCATCCAGTAGGAAATCACAGAGAGGCAGTCAGAGACACGAGTCAAAATGGGCTGTGAGAGATCAGGAGAGTACAAGTAGATTTGCGTGTCATCTGCATAGAAATTATATTGGAAGCCAAAAGGAGCTGATGAGTCTACCAAGGGAGGCAGTGTAGAAAGAAAACAGTAGGGGACACCGACAGCGTAGTTGGGGTAAGAGGCAGAGGCAGAGAAAGAAACACTGAAAGAGCGCTGGGAGAGGTAGGAGAGGTAGGAGGAGCACCAGGAGAGAGAGCAATAATTGTGAAGGGAGTGGGGTTGGGTGATGTTTTGGTAGGGGAAGGAGAGAAATTAGCGATCTCTTCTCTGATTGTAGAGATCTTCTCAGTGAAGTGAGATGAAAAGTTTGTGGCGGACAAGGTGGCAGAAGGAGGGGGAGTAAAAGGGCGAAGAAGAGCATCAAAAGTGTGAAATAGGTATTTGGGTGAATGGGACAATGTACTTGCGAGGGTGTTAAAGTAATTTACTTCTGCAGTGGAAAGAGCCAGGCTGTAGGAGCGCAGCATAATTTTTTAGTGGAGGAAGTCAGATGCAAAGTGAGACTTTCTCCAGCAGTTTTAGAAAAAATTTTGGAGGTAACAGGTCAGCCAGGGTTGTAATTGGGGGGCGCTTGCTGCGTTTAATTGTAGGAGGTGCCATGATGTCAAGTTGAGAGGAGAGGAAAGTTGAGTTGTTGAGTGAGGTTGCAGAGTTAGGGCAAGTTAGATTTGAGATGGGCAAAAAGAGTTTGGAGTAGAAATATTGGAGATCAAGGCAGTTGAGGTTTCTGCGAGATTGGAGAGTTGAGGGTGATGAAATATGGGTACGGGGTATGTTAATGTCATGTTAGCAGATGGTGGTCAGACAAAGGCAATGAAACAGTGGAGAGATTAGAGGTGGTACAGAGATTGGTGAATAGGAGGTCAAGAGTGTTTCCTGCTGTAAGAGTTGCTGAAGTAGACAACTGCGTGAGGCTACAGAGAGCAGACTGGAGGTATCAGGGCAGTTGAGGTTGTTGATTGGGCTGTTAAAGTACCCAAGTATGAGGGAAGGAGTGGTAGAGGAGAGAAAGTGGGGTAGCCAGGAAGAAAAGTGCTCAATAAACAGCCTAGGATGACCGGGGGGGGGGGAGCAACATTATCACGGCAACGTTCAGCTCTCGCGAGAGTGAACTCTAGCCTGCGGCTTACAGTTCACTCTCACCACTCGACCACCAAGGAAGGATGGCAGCACGTCCCCTCTCATTTCCCCCCTCCCAGGCTAAAAGTAATTAGGGAGGGGGGGCGGGGGGGGTTATCTGCCGTCACATTCTAGGTTTCTAATTTTCTTTCTTTGTCTGTTTACTCACTGAGGGTTATTTTAATATATATATTTGAGGGTGAGGTGTAATTGTAGAATAATAAGATATATAAAACTGACGAAGATTCTATAGAAACAAAAACTTGTAGGACCAGTGGTGATCTACCAATTTTTAAACACCCTTTTTATTCAAGTTTGTTTAGAATAAAATCAATTTATACCTACCTATCAGATTCCTGATTTTGATACAGAGGACGTCAAGCTGACTGAAAAACCAGACCTCCCCCGGTGGGGACAGCAACTTTAAAGTGTTTTTCTTCATCTGGAGTTTGCGAGTTCCTACTCCAACAGTGTTGCATTGTTATTTTTTTTTATTTTAGATTTCCAGCGGTATCCCAGAGAGATAGATAGATAGAGAGATTATATATATATATATATATATATATATATATATATATACATATACATATATACATATATACTGCCAGTATAAAACCAGAGAAGCAAGAGGATGAGATAGAAGACAACCTTGCTAGGAGCGCTTTCCCTGAATCTCTCACAAGGTGTCTGGCATACAATTTCTATGCATCTCACCGAAGGGGCAAGTCAGTCTTGCTGAGCATCTTAAAAAAGGGGTACACAAATATATGCAAAGGCAAAGTAGAGGACAGTAAATGGCAATTAACATGATGCCCATACAGTTGTAATGATGGAAAATATAGTTCACGTCCATCTGTCATCATTAGATAGAGTAGAAGTTATGGAGTTAGATTTTTGAAGAGGATCAGCCAGACCAAACAGTTAAAATGAACATTCCAAGCACCATAACCAATACAACTTGCTCCCAAATGTAGATGATCAAACAAGATCAGTACAATTGAACTACTTTTCAAGGGTCTGCTAGCCGGTACCACTCTCTGCCTCCACCACTTTCAGCAAAGGCAGAAACCCTCTGAGCTAAGCCCAGAGGTAAAGTACCGATACTCAGAACCAAATTTAGGTTTCTAGATTTACTTTAAAATGGTTTAGGAACATTTCTACGCAATTTGATATTTTTCAACAGTTTTCTCTGTAAAATATACACCGCATATTTTAAGACATTTCAACATGTGTCAACAGCAAGAAACAATACAAGATTGCACATAAAATGTCGAGTATACTGCAAATGATGTATAAAAATAAAACGTAAACTGAAATAAAAGATGCAAGGCACATTTCTCTGATTATGGAGGTTTGTAAGCCAGGATTAGCAAAATGTATTTTTCTGTGCAGAAGGCTATTTTTTTCTAAATACACAGAGAGTGTGTGTGTGTGTGTGTGTGTGAGTGTTTATTTTTTATATACATAAAATCAATACACACTTGTGCATGTAGCCTAAGCCAAGATGGCTCGTGCTGCATTTCAGTGTGCCACGGCCCACACATATACTTTGTCTCCCTCCTGCCGATACACTTCTGAATGCTGTGACAAGGAGGAAGAGGTCCCTATATACGTGGGAGCGGCAACATATATCAGCACTTACCACCAACAGAGCAGCTATATTAAGGTATGCTCCACCTCAGGTAGGTCTTGCTTTCTGATTTATATCTATAGGGATGGAAATTGGGATCAGGGAGCAGATGGAATACTGCTGTGATGTCCCAGCATGTCCTCACACCACCTGCTGTATTGAGGTAGCTGTAGTCTTCCATCATGCACTATGGAGCCATTAACTTCACAGAGCTCATGGGAGGCATGAGAATCAGAAGTGTGTTCTCATAAGTCACCTCTAAAATATCAAAGTTGTTCTACTGGATGTTTAAAATATTTCTCAATTTGGGGCGTGTCCTGGACGCGGACCGGAGCATCCGCATGTAGTTAGAGCTCCGTGCCGGCTAAAAAAGGAGTCATAAACAGCACGCTAAAGCCTCAGATCAGGTCCAGATAACGCCTGCAGCCACAATGTCCCAACCCAAAAGCAAGAGAACCGGCGAGAGGGGAGAAAGAAGCAGCTTCTTTGCCTCCAGAGCAGGGCAGGGCAAGGCCTCAAACCAGGCAGAGCACTCACAAGATGGCGCTGGAGGGGAACTGGAAACAGAGACCCAGCCTGGTGAAAACGAAAATGACAATCCATTGACCCATAGCACTTTGAAAAAGCTTCTAGAGGAGATGCCAGACAAGATTGTGGGGAAGATGGACAGCGCTATCAAAGATCTAATAAAAGAACTACAAGACATAGGCCAACGCACATCGCACACAGAGGATCAACTCTCGGAAATGGCAGAGGCCCACAATTCCCTAGCAGACACGGTGGAGGGGTTGGTAATAAGACTGGACAACCAGGACCTCAAAATTGCGGATATGGAGGACCGGGCACGCCGCAACAACCTACGAGTACGAGAAGTTGCGGAAGAGGTAAAAACAGAAGACCTCACCGCCCACGTAACGGGCCTGCTGAAGGAACTGGCTCCAGACCTGACACAGGACTTGCTCCTGCTGGATAGAATCCACAGAACCGCCAAACCAAAATTCCTGCCAGCAGACACTCCAAGAGACATCCTGCTACGAATGCACTATTACCATGCTAAAGAAGCAATACTCAACGCTAGCAGGAGACAGAAAGACTGGCCTACGGCCTACAGAGGAATCACCATATATGCGGACATCTCCTGGGTCGAAAAAAAGAGATAAAGGACAGAGACTTTGAATGGGGATGCTCTATGGCACCTAAAAAGTACAAGACTACCAACTACGGGGCAGGGTAATGTACGGAAATACACCACACCCGTAGGGTAACTTAAGTGCTCCAGACTGAGCACGGGGACAGGTGGGGGACTCCACATTACAGAATAGAGGGACCAATCCGCCCACATCATCATGCTTCCTAAACCCAATAAGACCCCAACAATACTGCGAAACTTCCGACCCATCTCCCTCCTCAACACCGATGCGAAGTTATTCGCTAAACGGTACGCAAACCAGCTGGGAAACATACTACCACACATAATCCACAATGACCAGGTGGGCTTCATCAAGGGAAGACAGGGAGCGGACACCACCAGAAAGGTCATTAACATCCTCCACCACCTGAAGAACCAGCGGCGAGGGGGACTGATGGTCTCCCTCGACGCTGAAAAAGTCTTTGACCGCCTCCACTGGGGGTTCCTACGAGCAGTTCTAGGCAAGTTCGGAATCCCCTCAGGTTTGTGTGTTGGTAGTGCAGGCCCTATACAGCGAGCCCTCAGCAAGGGTACTCAATGCAGGATTTCTGTCCGAGACAGGGAAATGACAAGAAGATACGTGCGATACACGGTATGATAGGAGCACAAAGCATGAGATGATACTACTCACACTACACAACCGCACATATCACTACCAAACCTCCTGCAGGAAATGGAAAGATATGGGGAGCAATCGTACTATAAACTTAATGTCACGAAAACCCAAGCTATGGGGATAGGGATACCACACTTCAAACTCATTCCCACTGGACTGGAGGGATGACCACCTCACGTTCCTGGGTCTGCGGATTCCGAAAGATCCACAGGGTCTTTTGGACCTTAATTATGGCAGATTACAAGGAGAAATAGGCGACACACTGAAGAAATGGGAAGATAAATATATGTCATGGGTGGGGAGACTGGCGACTGAAGATGATGACCACAATACCTACTTAGAACACAGATCCCCCTACCAAACACATACCTGAGACGGCTGCAGAACACACAGCTTCTGCACACAAAAATACGAGTAGCCACGAAGATTCTCACTAGAACCCTGGCATTGGGAATGCCAGAGGTGCGGAGGTACTATAGAGCAGCACTATTGACCACAGCCCTACAAGCACACAGCCCAAAACCCACCACAATGGATAGAGATGGAATCGTCCTGGACTTGTCCCAAAGGTCTTAAATACCTCTTCTGGGTACCGCATGGGCAACGCCCGCGGCTCCCGGATATAACCGCCACCACAGAAATCCTATTGAAAACCAGAGATAAGACCAAGCCACAGTTCGGATATATCACCGACTGGGCGCTGGCCACTCCCATATAGCATACATGTAGCATACCCTGCTTTCGATCACCGCATTTGGATAGAAAAAGGATGCACCCTAGTAAAACATCTGTATGGGCAGGGACAACTGAGACAATTCCCAGAATTACAAACAGAGTATGGCCTACCGCAAAAAATGATATTCTCTTACCTGCAACTAAAGGGAATATTAGCACACGACACCACCCTGACTACTCCGCAACATACACAGAGTAGAAAGAGCGTGTGTATCCATGACCATGCCTTAGAAACCACTCTCACTCCTATATATACACTGCTCAAATGATTCAAACCAACAACTACAGACAGACAATTTTAGAGACGCATGGCACAGAGACATGGGTACAGTATTCTCAGATGAACAATGGACCCTGGCTTTCACGGCTCATAAAGGCAGATCCAGATGTGCATCGCACTTAGAGCTCATGCGCAAGATACAATACAGATGGTACCTGGTGCCAACAAGACTAGCGAACATTTACCCCAACACCTCCAAATTATGTTGGAGATGCTTAACAGAAGAGGGCACAATGTTCCACATATGGTGGACTTGTCCAGCGCTTAGGGAATATTGGAATATGGTGGAGGAGACAGTTAAGGGAGCATTACGAGTTGAAACTAAGCTAAGCCCAGAGTGTGCCTTATTTATATCACTAGACTCCCACCCAAAACCACAAGCTGGCCTACTGTTTCACATACTGACAGCAGCTAACCTCCTGATAGCCAGGAGATGGAAACAGACACGGACACCGCATGTCGGCATTGTGATATCAGAAAAGTTCTAAACACTAAAGCTCCGCACTCTTGCACCTTTTGGGGGCGTGGTTAAGCCAACCACACCCCCAAGCATAAAATCTCAGTGCCCTGTTCTGGTTCCTAGTGACCCAACAGTGCATTCTTTTGTATAATTTAGGGTGTGATTGGCATGGAGCCAAGAACAACTCTTCTGGCTACTTCAGTATAATGTAAACATAAAGGAACATTATAGGGTTAGGAACACAAATGTCTATTCCTGACCCTATGGTGTTAAAAACTCCATTTAGGTGGATTGCACCCCCCCTTCCTCTTAAAAGGAAAAGAAACATACCTTATTTTCAGCGTCACACAGGTCTGCCGGCAGTGGCCCCGCCCCTGATCTGCCGCCTTGCTGACAGTGGGTCGAAACTTACCTCGCCACTGGATTATGGAGAAGCCGGATTGCCAACCTCCTGCCTCATGACTATGGACCCTCTCAGCAGCCCATGCTAGACTTGAACCCCATGGCGATTTGACTGTGTTTGTGGGATCTGAGTGCTGTTTGAATATATTGAGCGCTCAGATCCAAGCAATCTGGGGATAGGTTGAATGTGGATGTTCTGTTCAGTATGATAGGAATTTTGTATTTTTGCTGTTGTGAATAGAGACATTTTCTGTACCTGGAGATAGTTGGCTTACCACACCCAGTTAAGCCAATTATCTCCAGGATAGAGGACTCTGGAACTGGTTTTGGCTGGAAAGCCACGCTTCAATGGTCACAAAAGGACTTCGACCTAACTTTTAAACCAATGGAAGGAATTGTCTGAGTATGTTTGTATTTGGAGTATGCGGATTCTGAAAATGCAAGTTTTATGTGAATGTGATGTATACTTTTAAAATTATGAATATTGTGTAAAACTGTATTTTCCTGCTTGTGATAATTACGTTAGCCCATTGTGTTCAGTAATTGTATCACAGGCAGAGGGGAGTATTTCTACTGGTATGAATGGGATTTTTTTAGCCGTGTTGTAATGTATTGATTGGTTTGTTCTTCAAAACCCTGTGGACGGTACTATGTTTGTAAAATGGACATAAAAGCAGAGTGTTTGATTAAAAGCTTCAGTTCTACTTCACCCTCAATTTGGAGGGCCGTCTCTTATTGGGGGAATCTGCTACAAGGGATTGCTATGCTAGTCATACTCTCTTGCTATAGCACTACTAAGCTCTTGTAAGAGCTCGTTCATGTTCTGCTACCTGAAGGAGTCTACAGTGGTTATGGAGTCTGCTGGAGTCCTCAGGAAGCGCTAGGAGCATCCTTCAATGGAGGTACCCAGTCGGGGTGCCAGGTGATCCGTTACAATCAGAATCGATGATTTTGGCCAATCCAAAATCCAATGCTTACCTGGAAGCAGAGCATTGGATTGGCTGAAATCAGCAAGAAGGCGGGGCCAAATGCCAGCTTGGCCAATCAGCACCTCTTCACAAATATGCATTGAATCAATGCATCTCTAGGAGGAAAGTTCAGTGTCTCCATGCAGAGCTTGGAGATGCTGAATGGCAGTGCTGCACACTGTGGAGCACTGCCCCATAACGCACCTCCATTGGCCATCTGAGTAGTTGCCAGTGGAGTTATCACTAGGCTGTAATGCAAACACTGCATTTTCTCTGAAAAGACAGTGTTTACTGCAAAAAGCCTGAGGGGAAGCATTATTCTGACCAGAAGAACTACATTAAGCTGTACTTGTTCTGGTGACTATAGTGTCCCTTAAGATTATGATGGACTGCTTTGGAGCATAATATTGCAGTTTCTGAAAAATGTTTGCCACACATTTCATTGGACCAGAGGTCTTCAGAATGATGATCTCGATGGCCCTGTATCTAAAAGGGACTAGGCAAGTATTCACAAAGATAGTTCCTTTTATTTTCAACTTTTTGAACCAAAAAAAAACAAAACAAAAAAAAACACCAACACAACCAGGGATGATCGTAGTACAATAGAATGTTCCTTTAAATATAAAAAAAAAAAAAACACACAAACACAACCACAAAACATTGGGAAAGTACAAAAATGCCCCAATATCAAATGAAAAAAAATAAAATTCCTACACATATTTCCCCAGAGAAAAACAAATTTTATGTAGAAATGCCGTAATGTACGTTCCTCAAATACACATTAGCATGTAGAAATCTAGACAATTAAGTCCATATCTCATGCATCAGTCACTAGTGGTTGCTAACAAATACAAAAGACTCAATTTTCCCCTTCTCAAAAATGTTCTGGGTGATTTCAGCTTTCAGACATCTGTGTGCTCTCAAGCTGTGTTTCACATAAACAGGTGAATGGCTATATAAACAAAGCAATGTCTCTAGAGAAATTCATTGCTTCTTTATTCCAAATCACTTACTGCATTACAACAGCCTCAGTAGGTTAGTTTGAAACACAAACTAAACATTTTACTGGATAATCAAGAGTAGCTGAAGCAAATTTTCACTGCTTGCCCAGGAGTACCTGCTGTCTGGTAAATATCAAAATATCTATAATATATCAGTTTATACTAAAGGGCACTCCATGACAACCTCATAATCGCCGTGCTGTGTCAGGTGCCCTCTGTCTTCCAGTACGAGTTTGCCCTCACAGAAGTTTATACTAACTCATACCAGGTTAGATGCTTTGACCCAATGAAGTATTTAGCCTTTGACGAAAATATGCTGTACTGTTTTGCATGCCTAATTTTATACAGTTTAAAAAAAAAAAAAATCATATCATATTTTGCATGCTTATGGTTTCCTTTTGTTCTACTTCCTCCATTCTAAAATATATCATCTTGCTGGTTCCTATACGTGTCTACAGCTCGCTTTTTGTCCCTTCCTCCTTTCAATAATACAGTTGTACATGATGGCATAGTTCAGCTAATAGTTTACATAAATAAAATGCTGAAAGCTCAATTAAAAGTCCCGGTATTTATTAGGAATGTGGGTGCCCCTTTAAAAGATACTCTGAGCACCTTAGCCACAACAGATGCAGTGGTTATGGTGCAAGTGTTAGGTGCCAACCCTGCAATTTGGGGAGCAAAAATAGGGTGCAAAGCAATAAACAGCGTAGCCCAACGCATGCAGTCTATTACTGCTGTCCAATGTCAAACAGCTTTAGGTGCATAATGTACAAGTGACCAATTAGAAGGACAGTGCTGGGAGTGCTGGACAGGCCAGGTTTTTAAGTAAGCCACAGGAGATTAGTTTGCCAAAGAATAAAAACAAAAACTACCAAAAGAGTAATTGCACCATAAGCACTACAATAAGGTGCAATAGTTAAGATGCAATGTTCCCTGTAAATTAACATGGTGGACTCTGCTAAACTGTGTTACTTTGAGAGGCATAGATTATTTAAAAGTTTCTTAGAAAGATGGATGAATACATAGTCCAGTAACAAATTAGATATGTTGCATGAAGAGTCCCTTTAATTAATAAAAATATATTATAACAGGACTCGACAAATACATGGTGCCAGATAGTCACGGCGACTAGAAATTTCGCTCTGGCGCCTGAGATTTGCCATCTCTCTAGTTAGTGTGGCCCCTTTGACGGACGGCTGCCCTAAAAGGAGCATTATAGGCAGGGAGCAGTACTCCGCCTGTGGCGCCTCTCTGCTCCCTTGCGCTAATGATGCTGGGAGCCAAAATATGACATCACTCCGGAGTACTGCTCCCTAGCACGCAGGAAGTGAGCAGCCCCACTGGACCCCAGGGAAAGACCCACTCAGCTCTTCCAAAGGTAGGAAGGCTGAGTGGGGTTCAATCAAAACAAGTGTGTGTACATATATACACATACATACATATTTTTTAGGTATCGACCGATATTGATTTTTTTTTAGAGCCGATACCGATAATCTGTGAACAATCAGGGTGATAGCTTACTGTACATTTACCATTTTGAAAAAATAAACTATTTCTAAAAAAAGTAAATGAACAAGATATACATGCCATGTTTAGTGGATGCAGTGTGTTTAGACAGAGGAGCTGTGTGTGTTTAGTGGATGCAGTGTGTATTTGTGTATATAATGAATGCAGAGTTTGTGTAGTGTGTATTGTGAATGTAGTGTGTGTAAAGTGAATGCAGTGTGAATACACTAAATGCAAAGTGTGTGTTTGTGTAGTGTGCATTATATAAACACACTACACAAACATTGCATTATATACAGTGCATTTGTGTAGTGTGTGTATTTCTGTAGGTATGCAATTTAAGGGAAGGGCATTTTTTATTTAGTCCCCTCCTCCCTGCTTGTTACCTGGCCAAGGAGGGGTGGGGGGGGGCGGGGGGAGGAATATAACATTCCCTGGTGGTCCGGTGGCATGGAAAGTACAGAGGGGGACCGCAGCAAGCGCTTACTTACATTCCCAGCAGCTCCCTTCAGCTGGCTCCTAGATTCCAAACAAATTTGTAAAGCCCTGCATTAGAAGACAGCCCGCTGTAGTGGTAATGGTGCCAGGAGTGCACTTGTGCACTCCCAGAGTAAGCAGTCAAACCTTTTGAGAACTTACGATGGGTTCTGCTGGGTATGTTCCAGGCAAGTTGCATGACCCTTCTATTAAAAAAAAAAAAACACAACCACCACACACCCCACACACAGTTGTCTTACACTGGGAAGACGCCAAGACACTCCTTGCACCATAACCACTACATTGGGCTAAAGTAGTTATGGTGTTTGGAGTGTTCTTTAACCTTTTTTCGTTACAAAGAGTATATGTTTAGCACTTTTAAAATGTTTGGTATTAACGGTAAAAATCTCCATAAATTGGATTTAATTCAATTAACGTATTTATTCGTGTATAAGACGACCCCTATTTTTTTTAGCCCAAAATTAAGAAATTCATATTTTAAACATCTATAGAACTGAAGTCCTCACCAGCCCCTGCAGTCCAAGTTCTGAGCCATAAGTCTCTTCTAGCCACAGAGGACAAACCCATGATAATCATAGCATCTCATCAGAGGCATCTGAAAGAAACAATAGCTGAGCCGGGTCATGATCCGATTTTCCCATGAGAGATTCTTCTAGGGCTTGAAGCCACACACTCTGGGCTTTAAGTACTGCTGAACCCGCTATTCCGGCTCTGCATTGGTAGCCAGTGGCCTGGAATATCCTTCTACTAGAAGTTTCAGCTCGCTTGTCCATGGGATCCTTTAACCCAGAAACCTCACCAATAGGTATCGGGTCTTCTTTGACAGTTGTGCTACCTGAATATCGACTTTAGGAAGGTCTTCCCATATATTTCTCTTTAGTATGAAGCTTGAAAAGACGTTTAAAGTGCTTAGAAATAAAAAGGCACGTCTTTCAGGATTTTTCCCACTCTCTTTGTAGGAGATCCATAATCCTATGGTGCATAGGAAAGCCTTATACTGTACCCTTGGTAGGTTCAGTTTCCTGAAGAACTGCTGATACTTCTTTGATATACTTTTTTAGTTCTTCCGGTGGAAAACCTTCCTCCACACTTGAAGTCAGACTGGAAACCTCTGAATGGAAGACGATGGGCATTCCTCTGATGAGAGTTCAGACAGGGATGGAGATCTTTCCTAAATTTTTTCGTCTGTTTTCCTTGAATAGCAGCAGGTCCGCTGTCTTTTTTAACAGTATCTTTAAAAGACTTGAAGGTCTGGGATAGATTTTCCTGGAACCAGCACAGGAATGAGGACATTTCGCTTGGATTTTTCCAGTAAGGATTTACAGGAAATGTTTAGGAAGGCTGAGCACTGGTTACAGGTTTTTTTACGACAACCGTCAGGTAGAGGAACTGCACATTCCAAGCAACACAAGTGCTTTGATTTGTTTGTAGCCTTTTTTGGGATAGTAGCTGACATCTTTTCTTTTTCAGCTTTATCTGGAGAAGTAGGACTGGACATGGCTGTAAAGAAACAAAAACTAAGTTTCAGAAAGCATGCAATAAGTGAAAGGCGTTCAAGGGAGTTTTAAATTAAAATCTCACCTCAAACACCTCACAACCGTGTAGGAGGGCTGGTGACATGGAGGATCTGTACTGGACACCCACCCTTGGGGTCAGACAGGTTCCGCACAGCATTTATGGCCAAAATTTTAAATTTGGCAGCAAAATACCTAAACCACCGTTTCGTGCATGAGCTGTAGTGCGATTTGGTGTTCAGTGGAACACAATACCTCCCGGGCGTGCGTTCCACTGCTGTGCGCATGCGTGAGCATTACCAGTGGGAGGTCCACCTGGGACTTCCTAAGAAGAGGCCACATAAGACTGCTTCCGGGCACTTCCGTAACGCAACATACAGAAGTAGATTTGCCGCTCAGCTCCCGTCTGAGGAGCCATCGAGCACTCGCCTCCCCAATCAGCAGCCTGTGCTGACCGCACCACTCTTTGCCTGGTCCTTCGGAGGAGCTGTCCATCCCGTTGCCGGGACAAGAAGAACTGGAGTCTCCTAAGGTACAGAGTTTATATGGCCACCAGGTGGAGCATGGCAGGTATGTTCAAAAAGAAGGGGGAGCTTCTTGTCCAATTTTAGAAAGCACATCCTCACTTGTCAGTACTGCCACTATTCGAGAGGAAAATACTGGTGATTTTATAAACACAGTATCTAAATATGAACTTCTCAGACACAGAATTTGTAGATGGCAGCTTAACTTTAAGAGAGCTCGGGGCAAACAGTTATACTGAAGAAAATATGGAAAAACAAAACACTACTATCTATATATCCAAGTGGGTCCAGCACTCACTCTCACGGTCTTGTGTTCGCCTGGGTGCCTTCTTCATTCAAAATATATCATCCAGTAAAGTGCACTCACAGGACTCAAATAATGAATCTTCAAACTTTTATCGTGCAATACAAAAACCCTGGACAATGTTAGTGATGCTTAAAATCATACTGTCCTATTTTTAGCAAGGACAATTAAAAATTTCAAAAAAAACTGTTGAAGCAGTAACACAAGAATTGACATATGTATAGAAGAAGAGTACCTGGAAAGCAGTACCACAGTGTAACAAAATGTAATGATCATAATTACGTTTTTAAAGAAGATCTTCCAGCTATACGGCAAATGGTTACACTTCGAGCAGAGTGAGAGATAAAAAGAACATAACTACAAAATAACAGTAAAGTAGAATCTGTACCTACAAGACAAGGGGGAGATAGGGATCTGGGTAAAAGATTCGGATTTCTCTTATTTCAAGTAATTAATTTGGTACCGAGTTCTTGTCTATCACAGTGGTTCTCATTTTAATAAAAACCTTAAAATAAATTTAAAAAAAGTTAATCCTGCCAGACCTGCAGTTTCACAAATTCTACGGTTGGTGCATTAAACTGACCATTCCCAAAGTCAATAATCCATGTCAATCCGCAAAATACAAAAAACTAAAATAAAAAACAACCTTACAGGTTACACAGAGTAGTAGAATAAATAAAACCACAATGTTAACGGAAACCTTGAGAAACCTCTAAAAGGACAACACAAGAGAGGTGACTAGGTTAACTGCAGCATCAGCACAAACATATCTGCAGTTAAATGTTCAAGTCATGCAGTGGATATCGAATAGACCTGCCTGATCCACTAGGTGTTATTATAGCAGACTATTCATACCGCCCAATCGATCCAATAACAGGTACACAGCACTCACAACTACTGTTATCTGATACAAAGTGCAAAAACTACCAAAAGGGAATTAAAACTAATAAATAAAATGTAGGGAGCCTGCCCTTCAACCACTCTCCAAACACAGCTGAAACCTTGTATCAATATGTTACAAAACATGCTCCATAGGGTCCCTTTAACCCCTTACAGTATACCTTCACCCCGAGCACTCACTCAGTGTATGGGGCTCACAGGATGATACAATATTAACACAATATTAATTAATACAAAATCCCCCACCCCCTGTGTCTGACACCCCAGCCAGCTGCCATAGCCCCACATGGCCCATGGGGTCTGCCCCATACATGTACAGGACCAAGCGCTATGTATATTCCCTGCTGGATCATTTTCTCAATCTTTAACTCTCACTCCCATCATTCTCTCACCTGAAGCTCTCCCACTCAGCTTCACGAATCGAACCAACTGCTCCCCTCCGCCGGCTTCCGCCGCCATGACAGCCAGCGTACCTCTCAAAGCGCTCCGCACGGAAACACGAGCCGCGGCTTTAAACGGCCGCTAGAGGCAGTGCAATCAGAGGCAGCCTGGAGCAGTGGCAGCAGGGGGAGCAGGGGGAGCAGGGGGAGCAGGCCAGCAGGGGGAGCTTGCTGACAGACTGACAGTGAGCGGTTATACTGTCACACGTGACTGGTTGGGTATTCACTAAAGTGATAATTGTTGGGATATCAGAGTGAATGCAAAGTGAATTTAACATTTTAGGCCGAAAAAACTTAATTGGCAAAGTTATATCATAGGATTATTCACTCTACTACATATTGCACCATACTGAAATGCAAATTGGGACACCTGCCAATATTGGATGGGCTGGAGGGTGGGCCTATTGATGACACAGTCACCATCAATGACAGCAGCCCCCAACAAAGGGTGCATGTCCTCTGGTGAACATGCACTCTAGGAAGACAGGCTGGCCAACCCTGGAGTGCTGCTTTAGCGTTGGCGAATGTTAAAATGGCCCGAATGTGCACTACAAGTGCAATTAAACATGCACTTTCCCTCTGTATTCCTGATAGTAGGTGACAGAGCCGACTGTCAGATGATCGGGAGGACTGAAGGAAAATTGGGTTTCACACAGCAGGCCGTGTAATTTCACAAGTCTGTGTTGCAAAATTAAAGGGTAACTCCAACCACTATGATCCCTTCAGCTTTTGGAAGTGGTTATGGTTGAAGGTGTTTGCATGTACTGAATTTCTGCTTGAAACACTATACATACAGAGTAATCTGCACTGTTGTGCCACGGCTCTATCCGGGCTGCTAATATCAACTTTGTGCACAATTATGCCTGTCATCGTCATGCACAGTGAGGGTGGGTAGTTTAGTTATATAATACATTTTATGCAAGTAACACTTTAAAGCAGCTCTGTCATCCCATTTCTCCATACGGGATACTTTATAGTGGGGAAACCTATAGGCTGAAAAATTCACGACTCAGTTCTAAATAAAACTACTAATTTTAGTACTTTTGCCTATATTTTTAAATTAAAGGGATACTATAAGTGCTAGGCATACAAAGCTGTATTCCTGCCACTATAGCTTCCTCTGTTAAAAACCCCTTTATTTACTTACCTTTTTTCAGCGCTGATGTTCCTCTGCACTGGGCCAACGTTCTGCCTCCTCCGACAACCGCGATGAGCGGGTGCTAATGCGCATGCGTGGAAAATACAGTGCGCGCATTAGACCTCCCTATAGGAAAGCATTAAATCAATGCTTTCCTATTGGGAAAAATCTCATGTAGAGCATAGTTATTCTACACAGAGTAGTAGAATAAATAAAATCACAATGTTAACGGAAACCTTGAGAAACCTCTAAAGGACAACACGAGAGGTGACTAGGTTAACTGCAGCATCAGCACAAACATATTTTGTAACCTCCCTATAGGAAAGCATTAAATCAATGCTTTCCTATTGGGAAAAATCTCATGTAGAGCGTGAGGATGTCCAGCGTCAGATACCGGACCAAAGGTCCGTTTCGATTAAGGAAGCCCTCTAGTTTCTCTGGAACTGCAATGTTTAACATTGCAGCCCTAAGTGCAAAAAGGACATTGCACCCAGACCACTTTAATGAGCTGAAGTGGTCCATTTTACAGTGTCTCTTTAAGGAGTAAAAGGGACACTCCAGGCACTAAAACAACTTAATCTAAATCAAGCTGTTATGGTGCCAGGAGGCCCCTGAATACACTCTTACCTCAAATGGTTAAACCCCTAAGCTGCCTCCAGCGTCAATGTACATTACCCCTTACGGCATCCAGCTTTGGGCAAGGGCGCTGTTGATTGGCTGAGAGCAGTCAGCTGACGCTCAAAGCCAATCAGTGACCCCCATTTACTAAGCTGTCTTGAGAAAGGTACGTTTCTTTCCAAAAATAACTTTAGCTCAATTCTCTGCCATTTACGAGTTCAATCACTTTGTTTAAAGATCACAAGATTACTATACAGGATGGCCCAAAAGAAGGTATGCAGTATAGTTTATTTGCTAAATATTTTATCTGCACTTTCACTATTCTTTCTAACTGCCACACTGATATTTAAATGCCTGAAATATAACTTCCACTTCTTGTGAGTCAGTATGTGTGTGTACTCATATAATAAGTTGTGATGAATTTAATTGATCATCTTTCCGCATGGGCACGCTAGTTGCCCAGGGGCCCTACAAGCATGGGGCCCCCTCAGCGTTGCCAATGTACTGGGTTGACAGCGGAGATCCTTTGATCTTTCCTGCCAGCCCACGGAGAGCCGGCCCTGCTTGCTTGGTTTGGGCCCTCTCGGACCAAAGATCTCGATCACCAGACCAAAGGCCCTTCGTTAGAGAGAGTGAGGGCTGGAGGGAGGACCTGGAGAGAGAGTTCCTCCTGCGAGCATGCTGGTGTGAGCGTTTTCATGGCAACGCTGCGACACAGCATTTTGCTTGCGGGAGGAGTGAAGATAGCCTGCAGCCAGAGGAGCTGCAGGCTTTAGAACATTACTCACCACCGGACCACCAGGGCTGGCAGCGTACCCCCTCCCACTAAAGGTAAGAAGAAGGGTGGGAGCACTGAGGGGGGAAATAAAAAAAATCTATTTTCCCTATGCATCCCCTCCCACACACACAGCACCTCTTATACACAGCACCCCTCTCACACACACATAGCACCCTTCCCGCACAGCACTCCTCGCACACACACCACACCCTCCTTCACCCCCCCCACCCCCAATAAATATAAGCGTAATTTTATCGCTAATTTAAATTTTTATTCCTGTGACTGCTTGTGTAGGCAGGGCTCCAGTGCACTGCTTTGCCCGGGGGTCCATAGTGTTGTTAAGATGGCACTGATTCAACTGTCTCAATCTACTTTTGGGCCACCCTGTATATTATTTAAAAAAAGGATTATTGAATTGCACATTGATTGAAAACACTTTAAGAGTATATTAGCACAGATTTGCATGAATAAGCACTTTTTGTTGGGGAGATTCGTTGATCTTTATTGAGAAAAATCAATCACAATCACAACCAAACACATACATTTTACTGTTTTGAAGTAACTAAATATTAAATTAAAGGTGTTTTAGCAACTAATCAGAATTATTGTTTACATAATCACTCATTTATCATTTTAAGCACCTTCAAAACATGTATACACCCCTTCTTCCCATTTATGGGGTTAAGCCCGGGACAGTTCTGGCTCTGTTCTACTTGCCTAGTTTACTTTCTTTTCGAGTACCTGTTTAATTTCTTTACAACCTCTTCATATGGAAGGAACACCTTCTGCATTAGATACATCAAATTCATCCATTTTTGGATGGAATTAATTGACTGAGAGTATCAGTGGAAACACAGCCAATGAATTATGCCTATACACAGGAAGAATTAATATCAATATCTGTAAAAGTGTCAAGCCAATTTGAATCATATTCAGGGGATGTTGCCAGCAATGATTATGATGCTTAGAGTGCCCCTTTAATTTTATTTTGACGGGGACCTAAAGAATGTAAAAAGCATTAGCTTAGTGATCCATTCTTCAATTGTAATAAAATACATTCAAAACATGAAAACTGCAAGAAATGCTCATTAGTTTTCCCTGTGTTAGAGGGTCTCTATTGAGGAAGCAAGGTATTTTTCTGTCTCCAGTTTGTAAAGCATTTTGTCATCAAGTTGGCACATCCTCTTCTTAATACTTCATTAAACTGCTTTCCACTTGCTGTTATATATACTAAGCCCTGTTTCGGTGGTGAATTTATATGTATATTTTAGCTTATTGATTAGCTCTTGTTGCAGTTGTACTTTCACCACAATTAGGGTGAATATAATTCATACCTCCCAACATGGGAGTTATGAAATCAGGACAAGGAGTGTTAGGATTATGGCACATCACTAGCAGTACCCAAAATGGACAGCCCCACATGGAAATGGGACAGACACCTGAAGTTCGGGATGCAGGATTTGTGATTAAATTTAAAAGTGAACACATACATCTGCACAAAAAATAGATACCCAAACTTTCAAGTATGCATACAGTGACAAGTACCAACACATATCTTTAGATTGTAAGCTTGTTTGGGCAGGGCCCTTCTCATCTACTGTTCCTGTATAATGTTAGACAAACATGTTAGAAACATTTGTTAGAATAAAATGTTTGCCTTGTTTACCTATTGTACTGCGCTGCTTAAATAATTTTTTATATTTAGGCAGGCTTGCTATTTCTACAATAACACTTGAAAATTATCCCTGCTTTCTACTTGACAAATCAATTAAAGCCCACTTTCCCCAATATGTGTATCAGGCTTACTACGCGGGGCTCTGTCTATTTTTTAACCCCTTGGGTGCAGGAATTTGTAATGTGGAAATAATAGACGTGGGGATATCGGAGAATAGGATGCTATTTAAATTGAATGACAATCGTTTGTATTTGTAATGAATTGTGTTTTGAATACTTATCCCATTGGTTGGAATGGCATTTACATGAAATGTATACTTAAGAAGCCCTTAGCCATTGATCAAAGAAGGGGGCACCTATAAGCTGATTTTACAGGGCTTGGATACAACTCTGAATCATGTGAGTGGTTTTATGTAGGAGTGCCTTTTTGAAGATTTGTACTTTTTATGCTTTATTGATCTTTATTGATCTTGCCAAATCAAGACTTGGCTTGCCTCTTTAACATCTAAAGAGACTATATATAGGGTTATATATAAATATAATGTGTGGATTTGCTTGACACTGTGCGCTTACACCATGTTTTTATAATATTTCCTATTATGCTCATCCAACAGAGTGTAAGGGGAAGTGAATATAGGAGGTGTTGTGATAATGTGGAATGGTTCATTAAACAAAACCTTAGGTGGGAGTGCCAAAATATTATTGAACTCAGGAGTCACCAACCTTTGGCTCACCCTGATCAACGCTATCAGCTTGGAAAATAGTTTCATTTATATTTTCTGTACAATGTAACTGCTGTAATTGGCTTAACTACTGTGAAAAGATTTAATAGCTTTACTCACCAAGCCCCCTGAAAAAAATGGAATAGGACTAGTTCATAGGTGTCAGCTACTTCGGATCTTGAAAAGATCTCACTGCATGAAGCTGCAAATCCTGGGGATTTGCCCCATACATACTACAAACTAGTATTTTTGAAGTATCTTATATGTTTTTCTTTTTTCATTTTTAACACATGAAGTATTTAATTCTATTGTGACAAAGCACACATTTGCCTTACTTTTATTGTCAGTCTGTGTATAAGTGGCAGTGTGTTTCTGAGTTGGAGCTCAGTGAGTAGCTGATGCACATCAGTGAGTTAGTATATGTGAATCACAGTGTTTGTATATTTTAAAGAACAGTCCATTTTAAAGAACAGTCCAAGCACCATAACAACTACCGTCTGCTTTAGTTAGTATTGTGCCTGGAATGCAGTGGCGCATCCCAAAAGTAAGTAGTAAAGCAATTTTAGAATAATTTGACTTCTTACCTGGGTCCACAGGATGTTGCGCCCTGTTAAGCAGTTCATTTCCTGAGAGCGATCAGCTGACATTCTCAGCCAATGAACTAGCCCTGCACTGCAGCGTTTAGCTTAGGAGAGCTAATGGAAGCTTCTAGCTCTCACTTTCTCCTAAGAGGATGTGTGGAGCAGCTATCGTCAGATCCCAGGTAAGAAGTGATGCTAAACCTTAATACTAATTAGTATTTGTTTTTTAATTTATGCATGTTAATGTGTCGGTCAGGGTTATTTACTGAAGTGAGCATTGTCAGGTCAAAGTGAATTTTATATTTAAAGGGACACTATAGTCACCAGAACAACAGGTTAATGTAGTTGTTCTGATGAGTATAGTCAGTCTCTGCAGGCTTTCTGAGTAAACATTGTCTTCAGAGGAAAGGCAGTGTTTACATTAGAGCCTAGGGACACCTCTATGAGGAGATGCTGATTGGGCAGGATGGCTCAGCCCTCTTGGCTGAGAATAAGAATTGACAATAACAGCCAATCCAATGCTTTCCAATGGGAAAGCATTGCGATTGGCTGAGATCATCACTTCTGATGATGTCAGCCAAGAAGGCAGGTCAGGTGCAGAGCCAGCACCTATAGACTGGAATAATGGTATGATTTCACTATATTTAGGGGGGGGCATTTGTGTTCCTGACCTTATAGTGTTCCTTTAACCCCTTAAGGACCAAACTTCTGGAATAAAAGGGAATCATGACATGTCACATGTCATGTGTCCTTAAGGGGTTAAAGTCAAGTAGACAAATTGGAATAATTACCCAAATCAAGAGATTCACATACAGCTAATTTGGCCTTAAATTTGAAATTCACTTTGAATTTCTGACAATTTTCACTTCTGTAAATAACCCTGCATGTATGCATTTTGCGTACCTAGTGCCCTTGCTCCATCCCCCAGTTTAGGAACAGTTTAACATAAACCATGATTGTTATTTTCCTTAAAGTGGCCTTGCTACATCACACATTGTAATATCAAACCCATTAGGAACAAAAACACAAAAAGTTTAAAAAGTGCTTGTTTTCTAAACACTTCATGTCCATGACTTGTGTTTTGTACAAGAACTTAAATGTAAAAAAAAAAAAAAAAAAAAAGATAGACCTAATCAGGGCTATTCACTTAATTCTTAATTATAAATCGTTGACAATTTACAGTGAATTTACAGTAATACTATAGGTACCATAACCACTTCAGTAGTAACTCTTGTTCCTTTAATACTTTAGGTCAGCTACATTTTCAGTTTAGTCTGACCTCAAATTTGAAATCCACTTTACTTACTTATCGGTGAATTGTAGTAAACTACAAGTTGCCCTGCAAAATTCATGCTGTGACTATAGCCCAGGTGGGTCATTTCACCACATCAGACGTGGAATTCAGATTTCAGTTCATTACTATTTAAACGTTAGGCCCTTCTAAATTCCCAACAAATCATCAAATAACCCTGCTTTTGACACTCTTCACCTTTTCTGCCTTAGACAGGATTTCTACCATGTAACCCCCAATACTGCCACAGACAGGATCTCTACCATGTAACCCCAATACTGCCAGAGACAGGATCTCTACCATGTAACCCCCAATACTGCCAGAGACAGGATCTCTACCATGTAACCCCCAATATTGCCACAGACAGGATCTCTACCATGTAACCCCAATACTGCCACGGACATGATCTCTACCATGTAACTCCCAGTACTGCCACAGTCAGGATCTCTACCATGTAACCCCAATACTGCCACAGACAGCATCTCTACCACTTAACCCCAATACTGCCACAGACAGGATCTCTACCATGTAACCCCAATACTGCCACAGACAGGATCTCTACCATGTAACCCCAATACTGCCACAGACAGGATCTCTATCATGTAACCCCAATACTGCCACAGACAGGATCTCTACCTTGCAACCCCAATACTGCCACAGACAGGATCTCTATCATGTAACCCCCAATACTGCCACAGACAGGATCTCTACCATGTAACCCCAATACTGCCACAGACAGGATCTCTGCCATGTAACCCCAATACTGCCACAGACAGGATCTCTACCATGTAACCCCCAATACTGCCACAGACAGGATCTCTACCATGTAACCCCAATACTGCCACAGACAGGATCTCTGCCATGTAACCCCAATACTGCCACAGACAGGATCTCTACCATGTAACCCCAATACTGCCACAGACAGGATCTCTACCATGTAACCCCAATACTGCCACAGACAGGATCTCTGCCATGTAACCCCAATACTGCCACAGACAGGATCTCTACCATGTAACCCCAATACTGCCACAGACAGGATCTCTGCCATGTAACCCCAATACTGCCACAGACAGGATCTCTACCATGTAACCCCAATACTGCCACAGACAGGATCTCTACCATGTAACCCCAATACTGCCACAGACAGGATCTCTACCATGTAACCCCAATACTGCCACAGACAGGATCTCTACCATGTAACCCCCAATACTGCCACAGACAGGATCTCTACCATGTAACCCCAATACTGCCACAGACAGGATCTCTGCCATGTAACCCCAATACTGCCACAGACAGGATCTCTACCATGTAACCCCAATACTGCCACAGACAGGATCTCTGCCATGTAACCCCAATACTGCCACAGACAGGATCTCTGCCATGTAACCCCAATACTGCCACAGACAGGATCTCTGCCATGTAACCCCAATACTGCCACAGACAGGATCTCTACCATGTAACCCCCAATACTGCCACAGACAGGATCTCTACCATGTAACCCCAATACTGCCACAGACAGGATCTCTGCCATGTAACCCCAATACTGCCACAGACAGGATCTCTACCATGTAACCCCAATACTGCCACAGACAGGATCTCTGCCATGTAACCCCAATACTGCCACAGACAGGATCTCTGCCATGTAACCCCAATACTGCCACAGACAGGATCTCTGCCATGTAACCCCAATACTGCCATAGAGTGACCAAGACACATGCATTCCCTGCCAGACAGCTCCACTGAATTAATATCATGAGATATATTATGGTAAATTAATAAACACAGACATAGCAAAGATGTTATCAAACATATTTCATCCACAGAAAGTCCAAAGAGCCCCGGTAAAGGGGAGGGGTTATGTGTCCCGGAAGCAGAAAACTCAACTGTTTCCGGTTTCCTTGAGATAAAGTTCCGGTGAGGCAAAGATGGCGGCGCCCAGTGCGGAGAATGTGGAGGTTCCCTTGAAATCCCCAGCTGGGACTCCTGGCAAAGTGAGGAAGTTGATAAACGAAGGGATAGTGAGTGCAGATACCGAGGCCAGGTGAGCCATGGGGATCAGAGAGTGCTGCACCTCCCATATAACAGTGTGTGCAGGTCAAATGATGGAGTTAGCTGGTCAGCAGTGCACATCTGATTTATTATAGCTGGGGCTACTGTTTAAACGATTAAAAAAAAAAAAAAAAAGTTTATACACACAGTGTGGCAAGAGTGTCTGGTTTCTGTATAGAAAGCAATACTGTTCAATAAATCATAGAAAATCAACTATACCTCGTGTTATTTATATATTTTTTCCTGTTCAGTCATATACAATCAGAACGCACATCAATGGAAATGAGTACGGATACTTTGGGGAAGTAAATTGTGTAATTCAGAAATTGCTTTTTAGAGCAGTTTAGTAACTACAATCCGATTTATTAACGAAGTTTAAAGGGCACTTTAGGTTCGTGTACTGGAAGGGAGAAGCAGCCTTTAGTCATTTTAGCATTCTACCCTGTGATAATTAAAGCTTTTCTCAACAGGTGTGTAATATACACAGATTGCAATGTTATTTTAATTTTTTTTTATACATCTTTGTCGCTAATATTTTATATTTGGCTTGGCTGCAATACCACATATACTATGATTGCTCTCTGCTTTAGCTATGTATGACAAGGTATGGTTTAGGTAAACTGTAATCCTATATGTGAAAACTTTTATAGTAAATGTGTAGTGTGTATGTTCTGGTTACTTTATATGTAGCTCTATCTATATTCTGTATACATGAATTTAGTTTCCTTGATGCCACTACCGCCATGCATATGTATCTGTAGTTTATACCTATAAAACCAAAACAGAGCAATCAAATACAGAAACCAGACAACTTGCATAGCTTTCCCATTTGTTGGACCCACTCTGTTCTCAATCTTGATTTAGATCAACTTGTGCCATTAGAAAGAAAACCCAAACCATATGTATATTGAACTGATTCTGTCCTCACGGGCAGTTTTGATCCAAGATGTTTCCCAGTTTCTTCTGAATGGGAGATTGAGGCTTAAAAAATTGGTTTTGCCTTCATTGGGGTGTATGAAGCGAAGCTGATACCCCTCTAGGCAAACTAAGTAAGGAGTCCATGTCTGATTTACCCTCTACCCTAGGAATAATTTTACTGCTGCTTATTTTTAAGGGGGTGGGGGGTGATTGAAAGAAAACATGTTTAAATCTTTTTGTATTTTAGGAAAGAAACTGTTGCCTCGACTGATGAAAACAATGGGTTTGAAGCTGGGTCAGATTCTGCTTCTAGTGAGACAACAAGTAGAGATGCGTTCTTTAGCAGAGTGGAATCCTTCACCATATCCTTTTTCTTTTTGATAATTCTTTAAACTATTTCAGAAAGATTCACTAAATACT